ACACTAGGGGATGGAAAACTCTTTACGTATTTCAGATTCTGTAGATGGTGTTTTCAGAATAGACATTCAGTTTTTTAAATTATCTCAGGAAAAACAATTATAATTGACACATTCTCATCTGATAATTAAGTCAAGTGCCATTATTGCAATACATTTGCATGTATAAAATATATTACAACGTCATAAATTCACAAGTTACCGAATTAAAAAATTTTATCACTCCTTGAACAATAGATTTACTGTAATTGATCGTTCTATAATTTAATTATTAATACTCACTCTATCCTAATATCGGAGCCAGCAAATTGAAATACTGATTTCGTAAATTATAAGTAGAACGAAACTTATCTTTACACCGCAACGGATAATTAAAACATTCTTGTCATCGTGATTTTCATCCTTACAATGGATTGAAATTGTGGTGAAACAGATTACTTGCCACTGTTATCTCAAATATTTGGAGTTCTTCAGATTATAATGTCAGATAAAAGATTCGAAAAAGAATTACACTTGTATATACCTCTGATTTCTAAAAACACCAAAACATTCTCAATACCTTTTATATTTTCATGAAAAATAAGTATGATCAGTCAAAAAGGTATTCAAAATACTGAATCAACTGAATCTCCAAGCAATTATCATTATTATTGAAGTTTGTTTTGAGTTGTTATTAGCGACTACTTAATCAAATAGTATTGAAAAACCATCAGACTACACCAAGTTTACTTGCCGACTGAAAATTTGGTATATTTTAGAAATATATATTTCCATGCAGTTACTAGCATTATGATTTGATCATGTGTTCTCCATATAAACTTGTCATAGTAAATCTAATTAAAATTCAAGACAGACTGATTAGCCTCTTACGGTGCTGACCTTGCCCACGTTCGAAAATCTTCATTCAGTTCATACTTATTTATATCCTGTCAGCACTTCCGATTTCTTTCACTGTAACACCATTCATTCATACCTTTTCCTGTTATTGTACGATCAACCGCGTCATCGCACCGCTACCTATAAATTTCAAAATTAATCACACTTGACACTGCTCACGTATCACCGCTCAACACTTTACAATGTTATTCCCCTGACATACGGTCAAATGCAACGATTTCCACGTTGCGTCGTTAGAACCTAACATTGTGACAAATAGCGTATGTTAATGAAGCAATTAGACTGATAATTTAAATATCACTCAACAACCTCTTCGCAAACACTTTTCTTCCCTTACGTTTATTACGCATATGAATACTGTTAGCGTCGACGTGTCTGGGAAGAAGATAATTATCTAGCGGCCAATCACGTTTCCACGCTGAAGAGGGCACGCACTATGCGTATATACACTTCTTCGGCTTCTGCTTATCCGGATTCAAGAATAACGCGAGTACTGTTCTCCAGAATGTTAATCACTAGCGCGTGTCAACGTACGACTATGTAATTGTTCCGATCTTCGGTCACGCTGAAGAAGACACTCGCGGGCTAGTAGTACTCCTCTTCGACTACTCTGAAGCATCTGCCGTGAAAGAAGCGTGCCGATCGTCTACTCCTCGCGCGAATTCACCGCCACTTTTTGCACTCCCTCCACTTTTGCCTCGTCTGCCGTCGCGTATTTCTCACCGAAACCGCATCAACTTCTGCAAAAGGCCCGCCTAACGTGACTATCAGAACGTTACCTTCCTCCTTACGTTCAGCCGTCGATTTAACTCACTGTTGTACACTCGCTTCGCAAACCCATTTCCTCTTTATTAGGGAGTTGCATATTTATTAGGGAGCTGCATAACGTATCACACGTCTAAAGTCAACAATTTATTTCTAATGCTTTTTTTGTATAAATATGTTTATTGAACCAAAATTACTTCTTCAGTACTGAACTCAAAGTAAATAGAAATCAATAATATTTTGGAAATCTTTTAGATCCTTCTTGATTTTTCTAAGATTAATATTCGGACACTGTTTGAAAAGGAATAATTTTGTTACCAAATTAAATCAATATTTTTATCGAATTTACAAGCAGAGCTCTATCAGCTAAAGAAGGATTTTAATTTTCATTAAAATATTGATATTGGTAAGTTACCATGAATTAAATAAATTGAGATTTTATCAAAAATAAAATAAATACGTTTTAAATTTAGAAATGATGTACGCGATTCACGATACTTTGCATTAAAGTTGCAATTAGCGTGTCTGACATTTTGCGACTAATTACTCGTTTAATTCGAGGCTAGCACGAGAACACTCTTTCGATGTTTACGTTCTTCCGACAGCTGTTTGCAATGTTAATAGAGCAACGTTATTTTCAGCATCGTGCACACACGCATAGCTTAATCTCCTTGGTGTATGGATTTCGCGGCAAAGGCCACGCTGCAATAATCCACAATCATTGAAATTTCAAGTTTGTAAACAAATTTCTTATACAGCCAGCCTATCACTTTTTATCAAAACCACGTAAGCTCTTTTTCCGTTCACTGATAAGAAAAGTCTGTCACAACACTGTTCACTGAATGTTGATTCTCTAAAATGACAAATTTGTTATTCTTGGACATCATAAAGATGTCTCCCTTTTTAGAATTTATTTTCGAAATTTACTGGGATACTGCCAGTATAGAAACAACTTCTTAGTTCCACCGACCAGATTATCCATAAAAATGTCGTTCAGACGAGCACTTTGCTGGCAACAGTCAACGCCAAAGATTAGATAAACTCTGATATACAATCGATATAGACTTCATATACTTTGCTATATTTTTACCAGTATGTAAAGAACAGAAATCGATGATTTTGTATGCCCTTTAGAGAGTAGGACTTTTCACTTACGATTAAATAGCCAATTTCCTGGCATATAAAGCCTGGTACAATTCAATGACATAAAAGCATTGCAAAATAGCACTTATAATTGGAATATTTCAATTTTAAGCTCAAAGTTTCATAAAAATGACCACATAAAACTTCCACTGATGTTCTAAATATAAAATGATCACCATTTGCAGCTTATTATGATTTAAAGTTGTCATTGTTCAACATGCCTCGAGTTCAAAGTAACAATTGTTCATCTCTATCACTGTGTATACAATTCTATCACTTCTCCCGCTCGAAGAAAGTATTGTGGAGTAACATTTTAGATAGGAGAGCATTTTAAGTGATCAACAGTTCACTGATAACACGATAAGCTTATTAATTCTATCAGGAATAATTCAGCCTATGAAACTACGTTTTATGTACAAAAATATCTATAAAAAAATACTTGAAAATTAAATAACTCCAAATCTTTTGATTTTCTATTGTACAAAATTTCAAATAATATTGCAATTAATATACCTTCATGTTATTTAGTATAAAATCTGTCATAACTCATTGAATTTCATACGACGTACACCGACATTTATTAATATGAATGATTCATGAGAAGCAATATTGATAAGAGTATTATGATTAATTGCAGCCTTGAACTTTGATACCTGTCGAACAAGATTTCAGTTATCAAAATCAATAAATCTGTTATTAAAATATTGTCTCGAGCATATTAAACCAATTTTATATCGCTCGAATAATATTTTCATTTTAGTATATTCATTTTCTTATCACTTTTCATTTACATTGTTTCCTTTATTTGAAAAGTTTAATTTCATTTTAGGATTTTAATTATTGTACCAAAACTTTCTGAATATAAAAAGTTTGCTGTCTTTAGTGTACCACTTGAAAAATCAGTAATAACTTGAAACTGTTCGAAACTTTTTATCGATTAGCCGAGTTCAATTATATATTTATCAGAGGTTTTCTATCACCACTTTATTTCTTATAAACTTAGCGGTTCATTGATTGGTACTGAACAGCGAAAGTTAGTTCGACTCAGGTGAATAGAATCCTTCCCACCCCCAACATCCTCCTCAATCCTCCATACTCGGTACTGTACAATTTCGCTATTTACAAGCAACACCTTACGTAATTATTTTTGATTATGTAATTAATCAATCAAACACCTATAATTTGTCATTTAATAATCCGCCTGTGCAAACTTTAACGTACCCTCTTTCGTAGCTTTTCGTAATCAAGGTGCATGCTCAATTCACTGCAAAACAATAGCTACGCTTCCCTCAACGCAAACGAGTTGGGTTCATGTCATGCACAACGAGCAAATTTCATGCTCTGTTTCTTTCGAACGCGCCGTGAAAATAATTCGAGCAGAGTCAAACGAACATAAAGCGATCGATCATTCATTCAACATAAGATTGCTCCCTTAAATCTGTTAACTGGGAGAAATTAATTAACCCTCTACGAAAGACGCATGATGATTAATTAACACATTTATTGGACATACTTTTGTCTTACTAAAATAATATTAGAAAATGTTTCTTAGTTACATTCACTACGTGCAAAACAAATATTAAATTTTCTTTGGCTCACTGTTCATTATAATACATTATTTCACCCAGTTAACAGGTGACAATGATTTTTAATCGTTTAAGTAGCTGTGTGAAAGTATATACATGAATTAATTATGTTATTTTCCTAATTAGTAAATTACAGAAACTTTATAATGCTAGATAACAGTTACGTAGTAATGTTAAATTTTAGATAAAATTATGAAAGTTATGGATTTAGTGTAGAAAAACATAAAATTTTTATACTATTACTATTACTCAAATTACAAAATAAGTGAAAACAGTAGAATAGTTGCTATTGGTGATGTTTTGATATAAGAAGAACCAAATTGTACGTGTTTCCTGCATTGCGAAATAAAGGAAATTTAGTAGCTTTGGTATTATAAGACCCTTCAGATCTAAAAATAGCTTTTTACTCAATATCAAATAGTTTTCTATTTAATTATTGAATTTAAAACCATTTTTATACCAAATTTCAATCTGTATAATTTATTTATTTCATTTCATCATATGAGATTTTTGCTACTCAAACAATTAAAAAATGACATCTCGCTTAGCAATAAATGAAAACGAATTATAATTAAAGAAAAATAAAGAAAAATGATTAGCTTTCAGCGTTACCTTGACAGTCGTCTCTGTAGTGTTGAGATTTTGGTGGTGGCGGGGGTGCGTTCGAGAATTCTATTGGCAGAGCCGAAAAAAAAAAAATGAAAATAATAATTAGCCGTGCTATAATTAGCGAATAATGAGAATCACTCAGCACGAGGAATCGCTGTAAATTCTAAAATTCATTTGAACGCACTGTTGCTCAGCATCAATCGATATTGGTATTGCTTCATGATTTAAAAAAAAAAAAAGAAAACAAATTAATCGATAGCGAGATCTGTATTTTGGAAAATGTTCTAATAATTCATATGTAAACCCAGAAAGATAAAAAATCTGTGCAACTAAAAATATAACTATTGTTCTATTTCTATCAGGAATACACGAATAATATTTCACAAGAAATCGCCATCTTTTTCAGTAATTATTTTCTAAAATATTTCACATTAATTTGTATTTTACCATTAAAAAAATTTTCTATTTTTCACTCAATTTTACCAGAAACCAATATTCAATACCTAAAAAATGACACTCAAGATGACAACTTCCCATCTTAACCACAAACCTTCTTCCAACCGAATATGCAAAAATGATAAAAAGTCTCTTCTAACATTTATGAAAATTCAGACCTTCGAAAGTGACGGTAGGTCGAGCAGTGTAAATGGGAATCGGTGACCACCAACTGTTGTTTTTTCGTCGAACAGTGGTCGAGGACAGCGATGGAGGAGGTGGAGGAGGTTGATACCTGAACCTCGGTCTGTGTTTATCAGGATCAAACTGTTGATTCGTGAAAACGTCCGACTGCTTCAAAATAGACGATGAATTTCTCGAAGAAGCACACACTTTTCCCGTCACTTTACTACCATCTCTGATCTGCACATTTTTGGAACTGGAAACTGAGTCAGTTTTTGAGGAAACCCGATGCCCGGCTAGGTCCGGGGGGGAAGAGAGAGACCGCATGTTGTCCCTTCGACTGGGGTACCTATGAGCCACCCAGCGACCCGCTAGATACGGGGCTATGTCACGGAGTTCACGCACATCCGGAGAGGAGGTGAACATTTCACCCAGGATCGAGGTCTTCCGCATGCCGAATGTTTCGAACTTCTTCCTCAAACGACATACAGGCTTCTTTGCCTCTAGCTCCTTGGTCTCTGCCTTCCTGGCTACAGCACTGGTCACAGTATGAGCCGTCGAGTCCTTCAGTTCAGCTGTTTTGCTGATGACGTCGATGTGAGGCATGGCCAGGTCTTCTCGTCGAAGAGGAACACGTGGAATAGGCGGTGACTCGCCTCTCCGACGAGCCCTTCCTCTCCTGGGCTCGTACTTCCGCCTCAGCCAGGCTACATCCGCGAACTCGTGAGCCTTCACCTTACCCTGCTCCACCTTTTTCAGGAGACTTCGCGCAAGCTCTGGGTCGCTTTGGAACCTCTTTGGTCTTGGGACCGACTTGGACCTACCACCGCTACGCAAGTCCTCCGCACTTTCGAACCGAGCCCTCAGTCGTTTGACAGTACCGTTTCTGACCAGTTTCAAATAGGCGCGCCAGTACTTGTCAGGGTCTGGCGAGGAACCCCGCAAATAAATGCTTTCGAGGCTGCAGGACGAATCGGATCGAGTGGTAGCGCGACACGGACTGACGCTGTGAGGTCTGTCGTGTTCACGGTCCCGTGAGCACGAGCGGAGGGACGCTCCTCTGGGTGAGATCGAGCGTGTCCTGCACCCTGACAGGGGCAGGGTCGCGTACCTAGCCGTCTCTGTTTCGCCGAATAACTCTCTCAGGTCGGCAAAACTCTGCGAAGAAGACAATCGTCCTTTCTTCCTGCAAGGCGAAGTACCTTCCGGCTTGTCGGTGTTCTTCTTTGGCGCATCCTTGACATCTCGCTGGATGACCGTTTTCACGGACGTTTCTGAGCTACCCGTGGTGCTATCTCGTTCACTTCCTGAATTAGCAGCCACTATTTTAGCTCGCGTGTCATCTTCGGGAAGCGTCATCGCTAAGAGTGGCGATTTCTCTGACCAATCTGACAAAACGTTCTCCACTCGTTGCCGATCGGCTGGAGTCTTGTTATTGGGTGTCAAGATTAGCAAATAGTTGCTTTTGTCTTTGGTCTTTGATGGCTCTGCTACAGCTGATGAATCAAAGGTGATCGGTTTTGGAATCTTCTTGGCTGCCAGTGCTGCAGCTATGCTACCTCGAGTTTCCCTCGGCACTGACAGTCTTCTTTGGGAGATTTTGTCGAGAACTTCCTTACCTAGGGTCACGGAGAGCCTTTTCTTTTCCAGCTCGCTCATTGAGGAAGAAATCGGGGCAGACTCGGATCTCTCCAGACTCTTCCCTCGACTAATGGAACCACTCCTCTTCCTCGTCGATTCTGAACGATTAGAAGGTGGTTTTTGATAAACTGAACTTGTATCCGGGGTGATCATTGAATGACATCGCACGTGGAGGCCTTTTCCATCGTCTAGGAGTCCACTGGTTGATTCCGTTTGAGGGGGAACCACAATTTCGTATTTTGATAGGGAATCACTCTTATGGGAAGCTGAGGTCTTTTCCTGTCGTGGATCCACTTCAGACTTCTGTGAATTCTCGCTACCATAGATTTCGTTCAGTTGCTTCTTCAAGGTAGCCACCTGTTCTATCGACAGACTGCTCCAGAATTTTTTACTACCACCAAGACTCCGCTGCAGTAACGGCTGATCCAAATTATCCAAAGACTTCTCGTTCTGATCGCCCTCTGCCTTTTTCTGAATTGTGTTTGCCATGTTGATCACTGATGTACCCCGCCATAGCGGTTTGTAAGTGTCCTTTCTTGACGAAATCTCTATCTTCTTAGAAGACTCAGTCTGCAGCTTCCTAAACTGCTGTATGATGTTCTCTACTGAACGTTCCTTGCATCTCAAACCACAATCACCGTTCCACTTGAACTTGCTCGTATCCTTTGTACTGAACAAAAGGTCCTTATCCTTCTGTACTGCCTTTAGTTTCCCATAAAGCGTATTAAACTCGGTCTGAATCCTCTCCTGAGACCTCACCTGTTTCCAACGATCGTAATCCACGATTTCTTCGTTCCTGAGCCTGGGTCTCAAATCGTTAGAAGAAAACGTCCTCTCCAGTTGGCCTAATCTTTCCAGGCTGGAATAGAAATCGTGCAGTTCTTTGTACCTCGTTGACTTCCCTCTATCGTGTAGCATTTCTAACACGTATCGACGATACTCTTCGCGTTCAACCGGTGACATGCAAACAGAACTCGTGCTTCTGGTCAAGGATAAACTGGACCCGAATTTTGATCCTTGCAGTCCGTCCACCTCGCTCGCGCTTCTGGCTCTAACTTTCTTTGCCTGATGAACATCTGTTCTGTCCTGTCTCAAACTTCGTATCAGTCTACTGGCTGGGGATTTGACCGGGGATGGTGATGACGTTCGGGAAGAACGCTTCGAGTCCGAGTATTCCGACAGAGTCTTCAAAGGTGGCTCGCTCAAGCTTCTTTCCTTCAGACGCTCCTTCGTCAATTCTGGTTCCAGGTCTTCTATGCCTAAAAGACTATCGAATTTTCGGACTTTCTGAAAGACAGACCTACCGGGCCAACTAACACCGTAAGGACTCGAGCTCCTGCTGGAAGCTACGCTCTCTCGTTCCCAGCTTTTGAACTTTGAATTCGAAACTGGACGTTTATGAGCTAAGTAGATGCTAAGGGATTTCAAAGATGGCTCGGATTTACTACTCTCTTTGATGTTTTCTTGATATATCCTAGCTCGTTCGCAGACGATAGACCTTCTCGAAGGAACGTTCTCGCTAGAGACAGCAGACGAGATGGATCTCAAGAAAAGATTCTGGAAGAAAGTGTCTGAACGAGTAGCTTCTTGGTGTTTTTTAATTTCTTCTTCATTTTCAATATTACTCTTATCAGAAGCTTCGATTCCTAAATTTTTCTTTGGCCCTCTTTTAACTTCCACTTTCTTCTTCTTCGAAGCAGGATTCACGTGTATCGTTTGAGGTTTCTGTATAGGCGATTTGACGATAGTTAAAGGCTTCCCTCTAGGTCGGTCAGGGACAACTGCTTTGCAGGAAGATATTGGCGAACGTATACGCTCTTTGGCTACTTTATCCGGTTGCTTGACTATCGTTTTTGGTTTCTTAATATCTGTGAATACGATCTTGGAAGTAGAAGAGCTTATAGGAGATTTCTGAGAAGGAGACTTAATCGTCTTCAGAGACTTATCCAAATTCTTCTGTCTTCCATTAATCAAATTCGAAGAACAAACGCTAGCTGAATGTTTAACAACACTTTGAGAAGGAAAAGTTCCCATTTCCACGTTTCTTTCACTTTTATCCCTGCACTTCTCTAAACGTAACTCAGCTGATGATTTGACGAGTCTCCTCGTCGACTGCTCTTGTTCTCTTCTTGTCAGCCGCGTTTTCACGCTATCCTTTTTTACACTGGACATTGATGAACAAACTCCGTTACAATTTTGCGATTTTGAAAGCTGTTTCGGGATCATCCTCGCGGAATGAAGCGATTTATCGTCTAGGAGACGTTCTTTACTGACCACTGTCCGAGTTCTCTTCTCTGCACCTGCCTCCAGTGAACTTTGGGAAGGATAAGACTCGAACTTCTTCCTGCTCAACCTACAGGACACTGTGGTATCTAAATTCTGAAAGTTTTCCCGACTTCGTTTGTATCTATCCAGGTTACTACACAGTCGTTCTCTGTGTGAACCAAAATTGGACGCATCAGCACTGAAGCATTGTTTGTGCCTCGACTTCAGAGACTGCGTGACGTCTGTAATTTGTCTTCTGGTATACAATTTCAGAGTCTTGCTGTTTCGAGAAGATTGTCTTCGAGGTGGCGAGGGTGGCCTTGAAAATGTTCTGCTACGAGCATTTGTCGTGTCTCTGGAAGAATTCGAATTTGTGACTGTGGACTGTGCGTTCATTTTCTTGATCTTTGAACTCTGGTTGCTCGATGTTTGCTTGTATCGCGAGGACACAGGCGTCGCTGAAGAAGTGGTTTTCCGATGCACACGGATCCGCGTCAAAGTGGGCGAGATAGGAAAGTACTCGACGCCCGAGTCGTCTGTGGACAAAGTTTTTCGCATCGTTTGTTGGTCGCGTGTTCGTGAAGAATTGCGTGCCGTGGAACCCTGTCACCAAAAGTATCGAGGAAAGTCTCTTTTCAAAAGCTGGTGATTCTGCCTTGGTTTTCTAATCCGGTACAGCGTGAAGATCGGAAAGTCTTCTCGGCAGTGATACCGCTGGTGCATCGTATTACGAGATTCGAGTAAAATTAAATCGCATACCAATATCGACAGATGCCGAGGAGCGGTGCGTTGTGTAATTTAAGAGGTAAATAGACGAGAAAAAGAAAATACAGTATTATCTCTCTAAGTGGCGTAATTTATAACTGACAATAACCATGTTAAGCAATTAAACTAGTAATTAACCTATTAAAGAATAAGGCTTGTATTTCAATGTGGACAAGTAAGGTAAGTAGATACAGCAAAATTAATTAAATTTGAATTAAGAAATTAAAAAAAATAAATAATGTAAATTAATTATATATATTTTCTATTAAATTAAATTACGTTAAATTTAAAACTATATGATTTTCAATACCATTCGCTGTAATAATAATAAATTTGGAAAAAAGTAATACTTCATTAAATTTTAATAAGTCGTTATTAATTGCAATATTAGTAGTCAATTATTCACTTGGAAACCTTATAGTAATAATAATTCTAATTTATTTGACATACTAATTAGAAGATTCTAATTAGACAGATAAAAATGTTGCCATTTAGGAAGGCAATACTGTATTCGTATAAAATATTGCGTTCAAGCTGGACATCGGCTACAGAAACATGGCTATGATTCATGCTTTATGCTTTTCACTCGATGCGCATTATTCAAAAGCCGTGAAATTCAAACAATCCTAGTCTTTCATGAAATCAATTATACCGTTTGGTAATGTCTGAATCATGTAACACTTACATCAAAGTGATTTTTCAAACGAGGTCAGAAAAATATCAAAATTCGAAGCGGTAATAAGCTGTTACAAGCGATTGTTAAATAAATTACAAATGGAGAAAAATGTTACTTATCGTCTTACCAATATACTGTTATTAAACTCACGGTGACAATTCGTTATCGATATAAATTTTAGAACACAATAGAACTCTATTTATCCGAATGAAATTTAACAAATAATTAATTATCAAATTTAGATTTATGAGTTCACTGGACATGCTATTTCTGATATAAAGGACTTCCTGGATATTACATATCCTCCAAAAGCAGAATATCGAAGATTTAAGTTATTCGTGTGGGAAATGCTTCAGAATATATTTTGGCAGGTGGTCTCGGTAGATATTTAATAAATATTCTAATAAATCAATTTGACATATTATCTCAAATAATTCGGATAAATAGAGTTCCATTGCAACAATAAAGATCTGAAACTATCAAATATAATTTTTAAAAAAAAGGAAAAAAAAATGATTTCAAAACTATTCACGAATTATTCAGACGAAAAGGAACGCAAGGTATTTAAATTATAAAAATTAAGAACTTGATGCTTGTAGATGTAAAGTGTTTCTTTCAATCAAAGCTAAAATAGGTCACACGATCATGCTAAGGACTTATGATTAGTAAGACACAGGTATCATTAATAATTAGACAAATAGTAAAATCAACATGCCTTTGTTTAGATAAAATCAAACAATAGTAGAAATGCAACGGTACATTAAAATTCAGAGAAATAAAAAGGTAGCTTTTAAGATTGAAAATCAGAATCATGGATTTCGAGACTCACCCTTTGGTCGTTCAGGGGCTGGCTTACGAAGTCCATGAAGAGGTACGTCACCACCACTTTGAACAGTTTTATAAGCTAATCGTTGCTCTAATTGACTCAATGGACTGATGTCTTCTTTGCGACGAAATACTAGTGTGGAATCACTTTCATAGCCAGATTCTTTGAGAGCACTGTAAACAATGATAGATATTCGAACAATTACTTCATTATGGAATATTAAATTACTTTCAAATTAAAGATTTTTGAAACTCTTGCAAACTTTGAATAATTTAATTTGATTTTTAAATTTAATTCTTCGTAAGTGAAGTCATTAGAAATATAAAATTACTTCGAATAAACTTCAGATCCACTTACTGGGACATATAAGGTTTCGCTGGACGACTGTTGCGTTGATCGAAAGGCTGAAAACGTGAAAAATTAATTACTGATATATGAAAAATCATTTTATTTAATTAATAAAATTATGTATAAATTTCAAGATATATTTCATGCTTCTCGCGATTTTATCATACAAAAAGTTTCAATCGAATTCATACATAATAGATTCATAGTTTCAAACGATATTATTCTGACGTTTATGCAAGTGTGTTCATAAAATATCAAACAGGAGTCACGTCACATGCGACACTTGGCCAATGCTAAGCGCAAATGAACAACAATGAAGGACAATCAATTAGCAAATGAGCAAATCAGCTGACATAGAGAAGAGATAGAGAAGAGAGAAAGAATGTACAAGAACATTGACACAAGTGACAGTGTAACAATAATAGAAAAGAAAAGAGAAGAAACTATTTATTTTAATCCCTTGTCTTATGATATGTTACTTTATAAACACTTGGTTGTCTAAATTATAAATAAAATAGCAGTTAAGTTCTATGTATACTAAACAAACTTTTATTATTTGAACTTTCAAGTATCAAATTAAATCATTTAGGAGTGAGATTACTATGGAAAATAGAATACTGATCTTGGTCAAGTCTAATTTTAATATTAATTTATATATTCTGAAATAAGTAACATTAATTTTCATTATTGTGTTGCAAAAAAGACAATATTTAATGAATTGATTAAAGAAGATTATTATAATCAATGAAAATATTTAAACGTAAGTAATATAACGATTAATATGTAATATGATTCCATTTCATAAAACAAGAAATTAACTTGAAAAGGAATTCAAGAGGTCAACAGAGAAGAAGTAATGAAGAAAAGATACAATGTTATTTCTAACATAATATGCTTATTCCAAACAGAATAAGACCTGAAGTGGCAATTCAGAACTGTCTACAGTTCGTGTTTAATACGTCAATCGTGTAGTACTTTGTGTTTATGTGTTTTGTTTATTACGTCAAGGATTAACCCTTTCACTGCATATGACGCATCGCGACGTGTACATCCACACGTAATTCGGAAGAGAAAATTAATGAAAAGAAAAACAATTAAAACATCTTATTAGGATAGCCAACATCTATTGATAAAGAATTTTCTTAGACTATTTGAAAATAGACCACTTGGCATTAATCCCAAAAAACTAAATTAATTATTATCATCCAATATCTATTTTATCGAACTGAGCCAAAATTCGAAAAGTAGAACTAGCACGTAATCAATTTAGTTTCTGCAATAATTCCTTAAAAGCAATGTCCGCGTTATTGCGTTCTTGATGAAGTGTTGGAAAAATCGATGAAGAAGAATAAACACTATTTCCTGATTACAGTTGACATGCGAAATGAATTTAATACCTTTCTTATGGGATAGTGTTAATGTGGCCACTTATTGCGATTCTGCAGGGATACGGTAGCAGAGAAAGGATTTGTTACAGATCCTCTGGTATCTAGCATGATAGGTTACTTTACGTGTATGTGCCATAAGGTTCAATGGTAGGCTCTCTTTTATGAAACATTATTTGTTCCGTACCGACCATTCATTGAAAGTAATGTCAAGTAGTGAGATGAAAAGAAAGGTAGACTCTTGGAGTCAAAGAGCATCAGCCACTTTACTTTTATTAATCGATATCGCAAAGATGCCTAACAAATATTTGTTATAAAAATGAAGCTATCACATCTTCTGCTTTTAAAGCAGGAACTCGTTCACATTTTTTATACTTAAACTAAACTGCTTTCTAGGAAGATACTGGAGGATTTTCCTCTGAAGTAATATAGAACCTGGTGATTCAGGGAAAATTCGTGAAAAACAAACTAATAAAAATTTATATAGAAGAGAAAAGATATTTTAGTAGATGGAGTTCGTAGAGTTTAATATATAAAATCATGAAATAAGGAGAACAGTCTAGCTTGCTATAAATGCAAGATCGTAGATGGTCGAAGTTGCAGCGAAAGGGATAATACCTTAATTTGTCAAAATTGTTACTATCACAGACTGTTAAATGAAAGTCATGTCCGGGAGAATAAATATTCCAGTGTTTCGCCATTAATGTAGTCAGCTTCATCAAAATACGACTATCTTTTTAATAGTCTAACATTTTAAGACAATGTTAACGAAACCTGAGAATACTCAACTATGAGGACATGATTTACACTCAGAAGCCCTTGACAGTAATTCTGATTAATAGAACCCAAACTTCTGGCCACTGACTTCAATAATACTTTAAAAAAATATAATAGGCTTCTTCTTCACAAATTACCCTCCATGCAGAGGCAATTATAAAAAAGTTATTTTATGTTTCAAAATAGTCGTATCAATAAACTTAAAAAACTTTAGAACAACTGTCTGTATACATAAAACATAATTTGTAAAGAAGAAAAAGCCAACTATATGTTCCAAAAAAACTTTGATTGAAATCAGCGAATCGAAGTTGGCCAGTTATCAGACTGTCTCAAGAATTTTAAACTTAATACGTCAATCGTGCATTCTACTTGTCCACGATGAATCAGCCTCTAACCCGTGAAGGTGTCGTCGACGACGGTGACGCTAGGATAATGTGATTGCTGCTGGAAATAGAAGAAGACGTGGAAGAAGAAGAAGTAGGCGAGACGCGTTGATGATGATGATGATAATGATGGTGATGATGGTGTCGATGACGATGATCGTCGCTGGTAGCCTGTAGGAGGGTCGATCTGATAGCTGTCGATCTGTCGCCACTCGGCGAGTTAGATCGACGAAAGCAACGATCCGGCAGCACAAAGCTCTTGGATCTTCCTTCCAGCATGCCAGTGTGCCAACCGCAGTCGGCAGCCCGATCGAGAGGTCTCACTAGGCCGTCTTTCGAGTAGTCGAGCAGATTCGTGCCCGACCACTGCATCGCAGACGTCCTCTGGGTTTTATTAGTATCGCGGATACAGAGGCTACGGGAGCTATCATCCGCGTTCGTACGTGACTTTCCAACGTTCTCGAGGGCTTTCGAGCTGCTGACCGCTGGTACCCTTACGTTGTGACTGCTCTCCGGTCGGTAGGAGAGGCTCAGAGCCCGATGGCTCAGCCGAGCGTCCAGAAGCTCCTCCATCTCCGTACCCTGAGGATGTCCATTCTCGTTCAACCACTGTCCGCGTTGCGTTGTCAGGCGTAGTTAGCGTCGTCGTAGTTGTCAGGACCAGGACCATCGGGGGTGTAACGGACACGATACGCAAACAGCAGAGATACACACACACACGCGCGCGCGCACACAGAGAGGCATCGATCACGGTACGTGTACGTTGCTCGAGTATTTCGATAGGGGACCATATGGTGCGATCTTTTCCAAGAATCGGGATAGACATGCATGGTTAACCAGGTGCGTACGATGGATCAGAGGTATTCGGAAACTATTAGGATTATCATGGCAAATGGACGATTTTGAATTACGCTTCGACGTGATTTGAAATCCAATAGTATCGTATAGTAGAATTTATGTACGTCAATTTGAAGCTTAGGGTTTGAGGAAAATTATTCCATAAACGTTTTATCAATATTCTTAATACAAAGTGGCTGGTTTTTTGATAAAGTGAACAATGGAGAGCAGACTTTATATGCTTCGAAATGTTGTAACTAACTACCAGTCATTTTATATTAAAAATGTTAATGAAGGACTTGTGTACTTTCATCAAATTTTTAGCTTAAAATTAACATGACATAAGTGCTATTTTACAGTATTTTTATCAAATCCTGTTAGATTTCTTATGTTTACTAATCGACCATTTGACATAATATAATCCAATGTTTGAAACCATCGGTTACCATTTGTCAAGGTTAAAGAATATGCTGTGATGAGGAAGAAGAAATGTAGAGAAAATAGGTTTAGATACACTGGAAAACATTCAACGATTCTTAGTATACCACTAACAAACACGAAAGTTATTTATATTTATCGTATTCCTTGATAGCAAGCATACAATAAGAAAATGCAATTTCTAACAGTTCAATTTGATTACCTCATAAATTGTTTAAAATTCATTGAATGAAAAGTTTTTTTTTTTTTTTTGAAAAATAGATAAGTTCATACTAAACCTGCATTTCAAATTAAAATAAGAATTATTTATGATACGTCCTGTATATTAGAACACGAAATATTTAATGATTTGAGAGCAAGAAATAAATACAGTAAATTGGTAAAATTTAGTACGGTAATGAAAAGAATAATCTTGATTTTTGTTACGGATTTCTATAACATTTTTAGCTAATAAATGATGAAAATCTTGATGGACCAAACTGATGATAGAAATGTACGAAAGGAGTAAAATGAGAGCGATCTGGGAATAGATAGAAAAGAAGTATAGCGAAGGAAAAGTGGAACTGGTACTTATTTAACTATGATTAAGTATAAAAATGGCGTACCCCATCGAATATGTCCATGACCTCGTCCCACCACTAGAAACACAGAATTAAATATAGCGTTAGTCTATGCACTAATCATATGAAATTAAAATGGTATAAAAATTAAACAAAATAAAATAACTGAATGACGTGTTTCACGACCGCTTTTCATCTAAAATTACATTTTCAAATACTATTTTTAATAATATTAATAATCAGATATATTCATTAAAATTATTTATCTTTATTTATAATAATCACTTCAGAAATTATTAATTATTTTACAAATATTTTTTAATACAGGATGTTACTCTATATTAAGAAATTTAATTATTCCCGAAAATCTTTTATTCTATGTTTTAAAAAAAGTTCACCTTGAATCTCATATTTTTGAATGGTCCTGTACTGTTATCCAGTAGTCAATTTTAAATTACATGAAATCGTCGTTTTGCATTTTGAACGAAGAATTTTACTTTCAGATGAAAAGCAAGTCACCGTTCGATCACTGAAAGCAGCACTACTGAAAGCTAACTGAAAAACAAGGAGCACGATGGAATACTGAAAGCAAGAACGTAATTTCGTGTGCTCGACATATCCGAACATCGAAATACATACAGGTACCATCGAAAGAAACGCAAAGAAAGACATGTTTCACACGATGACGCGATTATAAAACAAGCTTTGAACAAATGAAAAAATCAAATGTTGCTTCGTTAATTAATTGAGATTTCAGCCGTTCGATTAAATTGTTACCTTCCTTCTCGTCCGTGTGACAGAAGTTGGCTAGAAAGCAAAGCCATTTCAAACGATCATGTTCGAGACACACCATTCGGGAAGCTCCTACGTATAGTACGTACTGTACTGTGACTCGATACACAGGATGTCTCAAAAGAGATGTACATCGAAAAACTTGCAAAGGATTTTTTGATTCCTTAATTACAGAGAACTTTTTTACTGATTTTCACAGTGTAAATCCTTTTTGAGATTCTACATGTATGGCGACAAGTATTAATTTGCATAAATCAAACGTCACTTCGATTAAAATTCGCGATCCAGTACAAAACAAGTGTTTGTATTTTTAATCAGACCAGTTTAAAAATCTCGTCTTTATTAATGAGGAAGGGACACAGTATTTTAAAATATCATACACAGAAATTAGCAACCTTGTTCGGTGATCCTTCCTGGTTAAATACTCAAGTAAACCATTATTATAATAAATACTATAAAATTTTCGCAAGGTATAATCTCAAAGAAAATTTATGTCCAAGAATGAAGGTTTATCAGATCGTGGATGAATTTTTTCTGAAAATATGAATTTCCTTACCTCCTTAGCTTCCTTTTCAGAAATGGATGATCGTCCAGGTTCGTAGTCCTCGATGCGTCCAGGTTGATTCTTGTAAATATCTGGAGTGTACTTCAGTGGTCCATTTCTATAATGAGAGAAATGTTTCACAAATTTTTTAAAGGTCTAGTAACACTATACAATTAACACTTTTCATTAAACGTAGAATACTCGACCCCGAGAAAAATCACCTCCTTGTACAACTATACTATAATTAGGGCCATGATTAATAGCAATAAATATAATCAAAAATATTTCTTACTTTCTAGGCATAGTTGACGTAGAGAAATCATTTTCTTTGTTTCGTAGACGTCGTCGATTGTCAAAGGTGGCAGAACGTTCTGTGTACAAACGATGTTCCGGTTCACTCAGATATCCACTGCTACTTCCGTAACCGTATCTCGTCCCTGAACAAAAAGATGCTTCCATTTGTTGCAAGAAATACCAGTGAAATTTACTTACAAGTGTGTTACGAATATTGTTATAAACAGAAGTTTGTATAATACATAAATTTACAATGAATTTTGTGGTAAAAAATCTTGAAAGCTGTTATCTCGGCTGATTGTAAATGGATCATAATCAGATTATTTATCAAATTATTCTACAATAAATGTCGGTTTTCGGAAATGTTATATTTCAATTAATTGTTTATAAGTACATACATAAATATACCTTTTCCTTTTTAATTTCTTTTATTGCTCTCACCAAACACTAAACAAATTAGGAATATTAACCCTTTCGTGCCAAACTTTCTTTTTCTTCACTGTGTCTAAGTGAATGCCAAATACAGATTAATTATTGTTTCAATATTAAGTGAGATTTATGCATCCTACCTAACGTAATACAGTAGAACCTCCCTTATCCGACCTCATATTGTCCCAATACTGTCACGAAAGGGTTAATTTCGCATTTGACAAAGGCTCAAACAGAGAATACGACTATTTAATCTCGCTTTGACAGACCTGTGATGGGAATGAAACAGTAGGGACAGCTGAGGGTGCACTGACACCCTGAATAACGATTATTAGATTAACTGGAATAACAAATTTATGTACCAACGATAAAATATATTAATTTTCATTTTGATTAAATATCTTTATTCTAAACGAAGCAGTCGTTATTCAAAATTAACGATCAAAATCCGACATTTATTATAGGATAACGTAATACAGTAGAACCTCCCTTATCCGACCTCCCATTATCCCAATACTGTACTATTCAATTATTCTGTTATTCGATCGTTCCATTATCTGAACGTGGTGTGTACACATGCACAAAATCGTACGTTCTATCGGCTTACAGAACAAAAAGTTTCCCTAATTAATTTGAATAGTGGAGGTTGTACTGTGCTTGTGTTTAGAGGCAAGGGGTTAAATAAAGGCAAAACACTCCACACGATCCCTGCCGTGTGTATTAAATCATTTATTGTTACTTTCACGCAAAAGATAAATTAATAATTATTATTAGCTCGGTTAACATCAAACACTATAATTAACAAATTACTAAAAAAAACCAATAAAAAGAAAAACAGCGAAATCAACCGAAGAAGAAGGCCTTTAACGCGACGTGTTATTACGGCTAAGCTGTTATTATTAGTTTTTATTGTTGTAATTTGTTCGACTGTAGATGCATGTATTCACCTCTTCTTTGTTTGTAACGAATGGTTACGTAGTCATCTGAAAATGAGATTAAACAGAGTTAATCTCGCAATTGTTCTGATGCATTGTTAATATATTTTTATTCTCGTCAGATAAATATATTTTTATTTATATTTTCAATCATTTAAATTCCAGATTAAAATCCTGTATTCATTTAATTACAACAGATTTTATATCATGTTCTGTTATACAATATTCTACCAGAGCTTGTTAGTTTTAAAAATAGAATAAATTTTAACGGTATTTTAAACAAAATAAAAAATATTTCTGGCTGATAGTATTGTACATAACGAGAAAAGACTAATTTGGCAGACTACAATTTCATAACACTGTTATATATTTTATTATTCAATTAAAAATTAAGAAAAAAAGGTATACATATATCGATAAGCGTTTTGGTTATATTAATTGCAGTTACAATATCCAAGTATCTCATATAAGCATTGAAGCTATTTAATATTTGCTACACAAACTCACCGGGTCTGTCTGCACGATGCAACGAGTCGTACATTCTCTTATACCATTTCGTTTGATTATTCTCCTTGACTTCCTAGAATATTTTTCTCCAGTCAAACAATAAATAATGGAAACTAATCTTTGTTGACTAATTCTTAATATCTTTATTTTGAACGGTAAACAAGAAAAATCTGTGCGTTTTGTATTAAGCGAAATTAAGTTACTTTGATTTTAGAGTTTTAATAGAAATCTCGTACATACATACTTACCAATTTTTTTTCTACTTTTTACACAATCAATATAAGTGAACAATTAATTTTTGAGTTAGAATTTTCTACATTAATTTTATAAATAAAATTGATCAACTATCAATCAAAATTTGCATTGTAAATTATTCGAAAGCTTTCAATAGTGTTTCACAGACCTACCGATCTCAATACAAGAGGTATACCCTCTTTAGTTGTTGGGCCAATACCCTCGAATTTTCGAGGACCTAAATCGGCCATCTTCTTCGGCGGTTCTTTATCCGTTTCCGGCTCGCTCTCGTATTCTTTCTTCACCGTGTAGACTGAGCGAATATCAGTTTAATTTCACATAAAGTAAAATACTGCAATACTCGCGACAGATTTTAGAACACAAATTTTTCAGGAAAGATTCTGATAATATTACACTCACAAAGGTATCTTTTAATTATTATTTTTAAATGGACGATTAACCACGTGGATTCATATACTTACAATTAAGGATAAAATTCAACTCTTGGCTTAATAATTTTATTTAAATTAAATTTTTCTATTTACTGTTTGAAGTAGAATTTCACCAGTTATAATTATAACATCGTTCCATAATAAATATCGGTTTTCAAAAATGTTAACTTTAATGTGCAATATTATTATAAAAAATTAATAATAATAAAATAACTTTTATTAAATATTTAAAGTAACAACATTTATGTGTCTATTATAAAAATACATAGATTTTGACGATGTTTATTTTGATTAAAATTGTTTACAGCCAATGAAGTTTTGATTAAAATCCGACACTTTGTTATGAAACAATTTAGGAACGAAATGAAAAAATTGCACTATACTGAAAAGATTGATGTAGATTGTAATGAAAGAACCCACGAGTTTCCTTGACATTACAAGGTAAGGGGTTAAAAGTTGAAAATGCTTGGTGAATGTTACGTAATACTGTAATAAGGTAAATGAAAAATGTACTCACTTATTTCACCTGGACTAACGAGTGGCTTTTCTTCGTTCGTTGAACGTTTCACTGTTTCATTTTCCTCCAGATAAGCAGCTCCTTTGGGGATTTGCCCTTCTGGAATCATAAAAAATATTTCCCTTAAATGATACTACTACGTTTTTTTAAATTCCTGTTAATATTAAAAATAGAATTTTTATGATATAATATTCTATAAATAATTCTGAATGGCTACCATTAGTAATACATTTTTAAAATCATTTTATCTTATTCTTTTGCTTCTAATTGCAAGATCTAATATATTATATCATACCTCTTGCTTTCTGCAGTAGCGTTATAGTTGGATTCTGAGCACGTGGCAGACGAGGCGTCGAAGCTAATGAATTTAGTCCTTGCGATGGAGCCGAGTGCGAATTAACAATTCGCGAACTCTCGTAAACTGCACTTCGAATCGTTTCCTTTTCTTCTTTTTCCGCTTGCCAAGGCGGTGGAGCCTTCTGGGCGGTCTGAGAAAACTAAGTTTCGAAAGAAATATAAATTTGATTGCCAAGAAGTTTTCTTTTTCTGAGGTTTAACGAGAGTGCATCTACCCAGAATATCTGTTAAATTTTAAAACTACTAAACTGAAAGCTTCTAATATGGAATTCCTTTTCTTCATTTTTGAATTGTTAGAAATACTTTGTTTCAGACTTTATTTCTTTACCTTAGAAGAGAGAATAACTACCTAAACATTCCGGTATACAAATATTAATGTGAACCATTGTACACAAAGTTTCATTCACTTCGTACAGTTTAAAGGAAACAGAAAGCCTAATAGCAGTCAATAAATTTCCCAGGGGGATGGTAACGTAAATCGTGATAACTCACTTCCTGCTGTGCTGGCTTTTTTCGGCTTAGAATCGGGCTTTCGAATTGCACTGGCCGAAATTCCTTCTTTTCAGGCACGGGACTGGCACCAGCGCTGGAAGGTGTCCAGACAGGAGGTATTCCACCATCCTTCTGAGATTCTTTTCGTTCGGGACTTGGTTCCTTCGGGGGTGGAGGTGGCTCGCTTCCAGGTGACCAAACGCCTGACAATCAAAGTATGTCGTTAGACCATCGCAATCATTATTCGGCAAATCCCTTTAAAATATTAAAATGCACGCATTAGTATACAAAAACACAAATACAGTCCGAATGTTAATGAATTATTGCATTTCAACGATAATAACAGTCTTGAATTGGTGTTTGAAATTAAAATCACAATTATTTCAAATCGACAAATTACAGAAATCGGTACTTTTATTATTATTATGATTATTACAACATTAAATCAAACTGCAAAATAAAAATGCATTCTTCTATGCGAAACTATGTCTTATTTATAAAACCTGGTATCATCTATTACCATATCTCAAAAAATTAATCAAAATAAAAAATAATTCTGAAACAATCTATTTAGCTTCGACGTGAAATAGGGTGACTTTCGCTAAATAACGAAAGAATGATTCAATTGTATTAAAAATAATCTTTGTTCTATTTCTAATTCCTATTTTTCAACCAAAACATTTCATCAAAGTCTACAATCTTACTATATAACTTCCAAGAAAAACAAAGTAGTAAAACAATCAAAATAAATCGAACATTTCGTGGATAGAACAAATATACAAAATCATTTTCACCCTTTCCATTTTCATTGCATCTTATTATTCCACGTAAGTAACAATCGATACGAACAGTAGATTTAGATTCAAAGTAAACAAGTTAGGGTCTTTGCACTGTAGCAGATGACTGTGCCACGTGAATTTAGCAGAAATCAGCCAAAATCAACATTCTGTTGAGACTCGCTAATCTTGGATTGTGGAGGCGTACTATACAGGGCGCCCCATAACTGATAGTGTGATAAAGAAGGCGGATATGACAAAATCTTTTTCTCTGTAAGAAATTCTTTTGCAAAAATTGATTTTAAATATTTTAAATCAAGAGAATAACAGTAACTAAATGTTTATTTTTAAAATTTATCTGAATTAATAAAAACTTTGGATTTATAAGTATTATACAGATTTAAATACAAATGAATTTTTATGTGACAAAATTTTTGTGACTTCATGGAAAATATTTAAGTTTTATAACGTTTCTTTCCTTTTCATTTGTACCAGCCTGTATAAAGCATCGTTCTTTCCGTGCTGATTTCTCAGTCCATTACGTCAACCGATCCCAGAAAAGCGCGAAAGCAATTTTTGGCCGACAGTGTGGCGGCGATAATTATCAAGGTATTAGTTCCCCTTCATACAATTTCGAAATGGTTATTAATTTCTTCGAGGCTATTTGGTATAATCCGGATATCTCGTTAACACTATTATCTTGTTGACTGACAGAGTATCATGGGCACTATCAATTAACTTTTTAACAAGACTTGGATTTATTTAGATTTGTTAAGTTTTCGTAGCTACAGAACTCTTTAGAAAGAAAATTAATTCAGACCCATGTGGGAAATTTCTTCAAATTAAATCTGTATCGAAAGAATTAAAGAAGAATGTAGACATAATCAAACATTTCCATATTATTAATAAGCAGTAATTTTGTTGCAACTCGTGTCTGTTACAATAGCACTGAAACGAACGACGGTAGTTCATTTCATGTAAGATTCGTAAAATTAGAATTCCGTGGGCGTCGATATTAAGGCAGGTTTAATTGGCTGAGGAGCGCTCGAGTACAATACTGAACCGGTTACCTGGAACAGAGGTGTTGCGAGCGACGCCAATTCTCGTTCCAATTAATTTAAACATGGTTGAGGAATTGGATAACTTTAATGATGGCACAACTTCGAACTGACTAGCTTATTTATAGACAAATAACTTTCTTACAAGAATTCCGGAAATAGAAACGAACTTGGTAAAACAATAAAAAGAAAAAGGACTCTAGGATTCTATTTTTACAACAGGTTTAAAAGAGTAGAATTTAATCACAAACATGCATATTTGAAGAATAATCGACACGTATCTTAATAATTAAAGCTATGTTTACTATGTTTATCAAACTTAATCGATTTATGAATATTTAACAAAAATTTATTAAATATGGTAATTATTTCCTCCTTTTTTTAACACACAAGATTTAAAGCATTCTGTTAGTTGCACCCCTTCTTCTACAATTTTTACCTGGTGTCGCAGACGAAGCTTTAAACGTGGGAGCGAACATAACGTTCTCTGAAAAGATCAACAAATCATTTAAAGATTCGATCATGTCTATTTCTGTTTGTTGAAGCACACAGCAGTGATATCAATTCAGAGAAAGATTAACAAACCGCCCAAAATTAAAATTTACTTTTACAATGCATATGATATTCACTTCAACAAAGGTTGTCCTGCTTTCATACTATTGTAAAATTGTTACAAAATTTGGAGAATGTGTATGCTGCAGTATTTTTGCAAGATTTGCAATATTGTAATGATTGTACAAAATAATATATTATTTTAATTTTTTATATTAAGATAAGTTAAGACGTGCATTGCTTAACATTTAGTGTGACCAAAAAAAAAATTAATCTTCTATCTATTGTGCCTATTAATTACTTTGTTGATTTCGAATGTTCTATTTAAAGGTGATATCCGCATTGACAAGCGACGTGACCTTTGGAAGCATGCCATAATTACTACTATTCGAGACACAGTATTTGCAAAGAAAAAAAACAGAAGTCTCCTTTTAAACAAGTTCCAAAAATAATACCTACTGTTTTTTTCGTTTAATCGACAGCTTCAACTTCGATTACAGTTTTTTAATGGCTGATCAAGAAATAGACTTTGGCTTTGGAATTCAAATCTGCCTGAGAATAGTGCCTATGAATAAATAATTTGAAATCAGAGTTTGAACTAAAAAAAAAGACGTTTAAAATATTTAAAATTTATTTAAATATCCACAATCTGGTCACTGACATAATATAATTTTATTATTTATTAGAAGATTAGATGAATGATTGTCCTTTCACTGTGATAATAACCGACTTCTGATAATGTCAGAAACTAAGATTCATCGAGACAGTATTCTCTGACCTTTAATCACGATGAAGAAGCTACTAAAGGCCCCTTAAATTGCTTCTTTACGAGAACGATGCAAGTCATTAATAATAGAAGCGAGCTTGATGAGCTTCGAATGTAACAGCAAAAGAGAATTCAAGAACTCAAGGAATCAAAAAGGTAAAATAGCCTATGTCCTGAAGCTACGTATTCCTTAACCTACAGAAAATGGAACAAAAGAAGCTTAAACAAAGTTAGGCAATCCATTTGTGTATAAAAACAAACAAAAGAAGAAACTGATAAAAAGTTGGACAATTCTTATTGTCGAATACGAGCTTTTCAATTTCTCGTAACTAAAGAACTGAGGCATTTGTAACAGAAGAAAAGTTTCAATGCTGTTTATATCAGTAAAATAAACGTCTGATAAAATATGTATATTGTTTCAGAAAATAACTGTTTTAAAGAGAGAGCTTACTTTGCAAAAAAGTTAGCAAAGCTATCTTTCAGCTTATTTCATTTCAGAAGTTATTAATTAAATGAAAGTTTGCTGAAATACAAAAGAATATTTTAAATTTTTTCCATGAATCACAAGTAAGAGATACGTTACGTCATTGGAAAAAAAAAATGTTGTATTATCGTGCAGATTTGTTGAATGAGTAATACTACCCTATTATCTTCTGATCGTAGGGTTCTCAAAATAGATTGTCTTGTCAACAGAACCTACTATTGCTTTTATTTAGCACAGATCTCAAGTATACGTATAGTGGAATTAAGGATATCATACTTTAATAATTCCATATTATAAATAATTTCAAACATGATACAATAACGATTCTTTCATTAAAAATCTACACAATATTTTAATAGCCACGAAAACAATTTAATTAAATTTCTACTAACACAATATCATTTATTATCTTAATTAATTAATTGATTAGAGGCTTCTATTATATCTTTAAGGGATTCAATAAACAAAATTATTTATTTATCATATATATAAAAAAATTTAAGAAAATTTTCATTAACTTTTAACTTAATGTATTTATCAAAGTCAAATTTATTGGCATTTTATCAGAAATCAATTTATATTTTCAGAAACTGAAAGAAGATAAAATGCTCGGTGAAATCATAATTTATCATGTTAGAAATAAGAGGAAGAAAAGAATTCCAATACGAATCGATGGATTGATAAAACGTAGCCGCGCAAATTGAAAATTCCATGACCGGAAAGAAGCGAGAAGAAACGGAAGAAAGATGAAGCTAACAAACGAAAATAGCGCGTAACTTCAGCCACGAACACACGTATATTGCAATTTCGTGCAATCTGCCGAGCAGTAACGCGACACCCTTATATAATCAACATACTGCTCCACCTTTCCTTCGATATTAGCAAACCACTCTGGGGTTTACTGATGTTCCAAACTATCATAATCTAACTTTGTTAACAAACTGACTGTCATAGAGATCATCAATGACCAACGACACGAATCTAACACGTTCACTGTATTCATATCTGGGGGATGCTTCAATTTCTATAGGAATTGATCACACATTAGATCACACTTATCTAATTAAAAATACTCGCATTAAATACTTGAAGTTATGGATAACAAATGTAACAAAATGTTATGAAAAGAATAGATAAAATTTCTTGAAAAATAGAAATGTGTCAAATACCTATTATGTATTGTTAATGTCAATTGATTTTTATTTTTGATTCTGTATAAGAAATGAAAATGAATATAGGGTTAATTAAATTACATTTACGGAAAATTTATATGTAACATCCAATCGATAAAAGAAAATACTAGGTCATCTGAAAAGTTTGTGCCAGTTTCGATACCGCAATTTTATTACTCTTTCATTAGATAATAAAGATAGTAACTTCGAGAAGTAAGTTTGTTACGACTGTTTGGAAGAATCGTGGAAATTGTAAAAAATATCTAACCCCCTTTTTAAAAATTACAATTTGTGACACAAATCACATATAGTTATTGCACATGTACTTATTACATTTACCTAATTATCATGGATACTGCTTGTATTTTAAATAATTGGATGATTATTTTTTTGTATCATTTACATACAGATAACTAAAAGATTATAAAAAGAGTGCAGTAGAATTTTTATTTATATTAGTTTATTTTCAATATCACAAATTTCTAAAGTTATTAAAAATCATTCAACCACAAGTCTTTTTTTTGTTTTCATTTTTTGAAACGGAATGTCAAATTTTGTATATATATATTTATTGCTTTCTGGTATTTATCAAATAATATATTGTTCTCGTGTAACACAAACTCGATACGAATTATCGTGTTATAAGAGGGTTACATGTAAAACACATTAGAATGTCCTCATCGAATGGTGAGCTCATGCTTTCAGCAGGTACCTCGTATATTATTTCATGAAACGTAAATATTGTTTCACAAATGATCTTGCAACATCTTTTTAGCAAATGTGATTACACGTGGCCGATTTTGTGATTTAACTGATGCTTTTAGTGACGTCTAATAATTAATCATCATTTAATAAAAATCAAGATTAACTCTGTTAAAGAGCAAAATAGATAAGATTAAACAGAGTTTTTTCGAGCATTGAGTAATTTACAAAAAATTAATTTGGACAATTTAACTCCAAATTGAATTTAGAAATAAAAAAGATTATTTAATTTGATGAGTATGTACTTTTTTTCTTTCCTTTTATCATTTTAAATTTATACGCATATGAATAATTTGTAGTATGATTATTTTCTAATAATCTTCTAAAACAGTATTATTGGTTTTTATCTTCACTTTTTTTTCAACACTCTGTATGAAATAAACTCCGCAGGTTCGAAACACCAAAGCGCTACTCGAAGCGCGTTCCATTTTAAAACAGATCGCAGGACAACCTGTTGAACGAATCCTTTATGCAATGTCGCCTGGAATCGTGGCGTCGCGACGCATCACACTCTGACACTCACTTTTCTCCAACATTATTGCTTCGTCGATCGTCGATCGATTCGGTAGAAATATCAACGCACGATCGTAACTCGCGAGAACGTAAGAAGCTCGAGGGATGACCGAGGACTGAGAAGCGTCGCGACGCCTGAAAACGCGACTACGACGACGCCATCGCCACGATCGGCGACGTTTAACTACGCAGAAGCCGGTGTTTTAGAATAGTCTTGGGACGCGTCGGGACGCTTGTAACGCAGGAAATTCGCGTGGATCTGCTTCACAAGTGTTATTCTTTTCTCTAGTTAGAAGTCTTTTTTTGATACAGATCAATGAACCTGTTAGAGATATTTATCTATAATGTATCGATTAATTAATGTTGATTCATTTATTTAAAATAAAACAGCTATTAATAAATAGTGACTGAGTAGCACGCCTATCATAATCTATTGGACGAATAAAAAGAGAAGGGAAAATAATATTATTTTTTAAATAAACTTCAATCGACAAAGGATACACCTTTGATTAAATAATTAAAAATGAAAATCCGAGGATATTCACAAAAAATGTAAAATAACAAACTGAAGCACTGTATTAAAAAGTTAAGTTTTAATTATCTTCAATAATACACTGCATCATGTGGCTGACTAAATATAGTTATTTCTACTGTGGCGATCAATGTGATGAAGACACAAATAATTAATTTTAATTAATATTTTTAACTACATACAATTTTATGAAAAATATTAATGAGAATAGGAACCTCCCTTTTTAATTTATGAATAATTTATATATTTTTATTAGGTTTTATATCGAGGAAAAATTTCTTCTATTTTTTATTTTAATACACGTAAATGATTCTAATAAATGTTCGTGAATATTTAATCTAACAATAAAAATGAAGCAAGATAAAAATTGATTTCACTGGGAATTAATCACATTGTTCAAATTAAAATTCTTGTCTGTACTTCGCATTTGTAATTTAAAAATACTCGGTTACCTATTTTTCCATGAAAAAAGAAAAAATGGAACCTGTTTCTGACACAGACAGGCTTTAGACATTTAAAGAAATGAAGATAGAATTCTATTACAAGAAATCAGAGATAGAATTCTTTTTACTCTGAATATAATGCATCAGCAGGATCTAAAATAGAATGCTAAAAATAATTACACAGTGTAATTAAAGAAAAACAGAATGCTAAATGAAATGTAAAAATAGGTAGTGAAAGAAAATTTACAAAAAAATCAATGTTTACTGCAAAATATTCAGATTATTAAATTACAGTATCTTTTTTTCATAATTATTATTCATGCAAATTAACAGCATGCCTTAATTAATCGAGCAAAATGAAACGCACCTTTCCCAAACAGAAATCCTTTGCCAAATTTCAAAGCACTGTCAATCTCGTGCAGCAGATCGTACCCATTGTCATTTTCCTTTGCGACTAAGCCATAACTTATCCCTTTAATAAAAGCGTGTCGAAACATCCAGAAAAAAAAGGAAAACAAAATAAATTAGTGCAAAATTTTGTAATGTCAAAAATTGCTATTTAACGATGTTTAAAAGGTTAGAAAAGCCCGTTAGTGGAATATTTACTACGCTTCCTGTTTGCGGATGTATTTAGGAACTTTGAGAACTCCCTGGTGGTTATCTTTATGTAAACTGTGAATAATTCTCTATTTTTAACGATCCAGAAACTAGAGGAAAAACCGTAAGTCGCAGTTCTCTGCTGAATGAGAGGTATCAATTAAAATCTTACTTTTTAAATTTTGCAACGAAGAAAATATTCCACTGATGTTAATTATGGTATTACGAAATTAGCAGATGTTAGAAACTGTGTTAAAAAAAGAGACTAAAGAAATAATGATCTCGAATGGTCTGAATGAAACGTTCCTCTGATTATTTAAAAAAATGTTAAAATGTTACATTTGTGAAAATTTCTTGCAATATATGTAAGTACTCGTTCATCTTTATATTTTTCATAAAATTGTTGTACATGTTACATCATACATACATTTTCTTGAGAATGAGTAATAATAGCAACATGAGATTGCTTTGATAAGAAACTGAAAATAATCCAACCACTATAAGCTGTTTTCAAAATGGAAATAAAAAATAAACAATCTCAAGGATTGTTAGCAATTAGAATTTTGATATAACAAAAAATTAGTTAAAATGATATAACGATCATTACTTCTACATAAATTAATATTTTAAAGTAGATTCATAACACTACGAATTTATTATGATTAGCTAATTCAGAAATTAAGACACCATGGCACAATACCATTGAAATTATACCATTAATGTAATATATCAATCTGCAACAGTGCATTAACATTTAAAGGGCGGTGCAGGTTTTTTCTTAAATTTTTATATTTTCGAATTAGAATTTTTATACATGTACTTAGGTATTATACTATGAACAATAAAACACCCTCTGAGGTCTAGAAATAGGTTTTTTGTCCTCTAAAGGTTAAATCATTAATAATAATCAGTTTTGTTACTTCGAAAGGATGAAAGTCTGAGGGAGAACCAGTTAAAGCAACGGATATAGGTGGCAGATCGTGTCGCAATTCGTTGGAAATAGCCAAAATCGAGACAGTGGTTCCGGCGTAAAGCTGGACTCGCAACGAAACGTTTCTACGAGCGGTGGCCTATTTCTCGATGACGCCTATATTTAGGTTCTTATTCTCGAATGAATCATGAACATTGCAACCGACCAACCTCGAGGCTCATCCGCGGTAATTTGACATCGAGGAAAAATAAATCGTCCATGGTGGATATTTACCCTAAACGTCCCTCAATTACACGAAACACGTTTCTTTCTCACACACGGGTAACTTCCTCAGAAATTAATAGTTCCTTGGTTTATACGATCATATGAATTTTCTTTGCGCTATTTATTCTAACATCGTCTATATAGCTTATTTTTAAACTGTTTATGTTGTCTTTAAAGAAATACAAAGCTTGAGTAGTGGCGCCAGAAAAATTAAGTGAAATTAGACTTTATGATGATAGATGATAGTTTTTGTGTACTAGTTCCGATACGATAACCTATGACCAGCGCAAAAGCCAACAAACTTATCTCCTGGCATTCTTACTTTATTGGCAAGAAACCAATCGCAGTCCCTCTTATCAGTATATACAACTGTTTCTTTTTTCTGACCACTGTTCAGTGTCCAAGAAACTTAAGAAAGTTTCCGAATGTTGTCCAAATAATTTCTTTTATTGGAACTTCTTATAGTAGGAATTACTTTATGGATCAAATGAATTAAACTCACAAATATTTTTGGTAAAATATTAAACCATGATTTATAAATTAAAGATTCGAAGTTTATATAAAAAATATTGGAGTTTTAAATATTTACCAATTCTTTAAATTAAAATAATGAAAACTGTTTTAAACTAATCTTAATATATTCAGCTTTCAATTCTTAGAAATATTTTTATAGACTCCCTGGTTTACCGGAAAAATTCTTATCAACTTAATTTGAGATAAAAGTTAAGCAATACAACACCTTAAAAAATAGCAAAACACAAAAATAAAAAATACGGTACTCATACAAAATTCAAATCAAAATACAAAACCATTCTTTCAATACCGTTAGTGAAGGCAGATGGAACACCTAAGTAGTACAACTCAACGATACGAACGTGCATTAGTGACTGTTATTTATCTAAATTGTATCTCATACCCAAAATGAGTAACTGAACACCTTAAACAACTGTTTCAGTTTCAAAATTAAAACAAAAGATTCTATCATAAAAAGTATTTTCTGTTCTATGAGAATTTAGTAATTGAAATTAATTTTAGTAGCAGTCATTCAAAGTGCTAAGTTATAATGACTTACTCTGTACAAAGGTGTTTCAAAAACAGGTGGACAAACTTTAAGAATAGGAATATGTGTTTTAACAGGACACCTGTAAATATTCTCTTAACTATCAAATTTAGAGTTATATTCTGCTGTCAACGATGAAAAAATGGAAAAAAGGTTCAATTACAAAGTTCATGATTTTCAATTTTAAATCTACATATAACAAATTCTTTTAAAATTACAAATCTCAATTTTCAAGTTAGAGTAAAATACAATTTTTAATGGATTAAGGTGTTTAATTTTAAGAGGGATATCCTATACTTTAGAATAATTTAATTAAACCCTTGCCTTAATGAAGACTGATATTTTTCACGTTTATTATTCTACTGTAATTGATTTTAATTTTAAGACAACCCAACTCTTTTTAACTTCAAAGACATAATTTCCAAAATCTGTTTTAAACGAAAAAATAATTATATCCTAGAAAAGAAAATTTTCTTTTATTTAATGATAAACAAAATGATAATGAAGTCTGATCACCTGTTTCTGGAACCCCTCTGCACAGGATGCAGCAAAATTTATAATACAAACATAAAAATAATAATACCTTACAGAAAAATAAACAGAAATCATAAAGCAGTCTTTTTTATTTAAATCAATTTTAAAATTTCATCGAGTAATCCTTGTATTGGTAACCGATATCCGGATATCCGGATACCCGCTTCTATATTTCATTTTAACAATTTTTTATGTTCTTGTGAAAATATTGCCAAACCACTCCGGAGGTCCATTCATTAATCATTTCCACGCCGATTTACATTTTCAAAATTAAAATTTATAGAGACAATTTTAAATGTTGTATTTTCAATATCCAATCGAAATCTACCTATACAACTGAAATCAGCTTTTAATTGAACAATTTTTATTTCCTCTTTTTTTTAAATCTAATAATTTGCCTCGTTACCTGTGATGCAAATTTAATTTTAATTATTTTATGGAATAACAAAAAATGTCATACTTAGTTCTCAAATGAGGACAGTGAGCTGAAATGCGTTAAGCTACGGATTAGATAATCCATTTATCCTAATAAACAACCACCCATTTGTTTAAAAATGTTTAACCTTTTTTAAAAATATTTAAAGAAAAAACACACAGATTGATGTCTAATTATTTAATTAAAGAACAAAGCACTCAATGAAATTTCAAAATTGCTTTCCTCCAAAACAAAGTTCCAAACAAAAGAAAAATATATTCTCGCAACAGGTATCACGATTTTCTCGTTTGCGCTATGAATTCTGCAAAAAAATGGAAAATTCAAGCGGAAAACACTCGGACGAAAAATCGGAAAACCGACGTGTAACAAAAATCCTCGATTCGACGGAACTCACCGTCCTTGTCGGACATTTTGAGGAACTCTTGCAAATGCTTGGGCAATTTTCTCGCGTCCTCGAGCTCTTTCCCGTCAATCAAACACTTTGCCTCGACAATATTCTCCTGGTCACGCTTCCCATCGCTCTCCGACTCACTCTCGTCCAGCTTAATACCGAACTTATTCAGTCTGTTTCTCGCCTTCTCGATGAATTCCTTTTCAACGGAGCACATGCCGCTTTTTCCCAATTTATTATTCGATTTCTGGATATCTTGACGCGAGCTGATCTTCACTACTTTGTGCTGTTTCCTCTCTTCCCGTTCCAAAACCTTGTGCACGTACTCGTCGTACATTCGCTGACGAAACGCCTCGCCGTTAACCACCACCGCTGATGCTTTCGGTATATCCGTCTTCGTCTTCCCCGTACGATCATCTTTGTTCTCTTTCTTAGTGATTACAGAATGCTCGACGCGTTCGATTTTCTCGCAAGACTCCTCTTCGTGAACGCCATTTTTGATCTGCACCTTCTTCACAAAGTCCCTGTGTCCCTGTTTGTTAATCTTCTCCGAGTGATCATTCTCCACTTGCTCGGACTTCTCCTGCCAGCTCTGGCTCTCCACTCGAGAATCATCCTTCGAATCCTTTGAAACGTCCTCTTTATCACTGGTTCCCATCAAAGATTTCTCTTTCCCCTGTGACTTTTGCTTCACGTGCGTTTGAAATTTCTCAAACGCCTCCTTCTCCTCCTCTTCAGCCAGGATCACATTCTTCAGCTGGTTCTCCAACAATTCTATGTACCTTAATTGCTGTGCAAGGTACTCTTCGGGCACGGGACACTTCGAATGACCCTCCGTTTGATCGTCTCTTTCGGTCTGGAACTTCTTCAGATTCTGCACGATCTCCGTGGCCGTCGTGTGCTTGAGGCCCTCAGCGTTTCCGTATTTCCGGGGCTCCAGGCTGCTCCTAGCCGGGCTCTGATCGAAGATGCTCGTGGTATCGATGCACGACCTATCCACGTTCACCACGCGTTTAATTCGTGGCGGAACCTCGACCCTATCGTCTATGAGGGCAGGATTAACGTTATAGCGCGGGTCGATGGTTCTCTTAGGAGGTGTTCGCTTCCCGGCAATTTCGGGCGCACCTGACTTGTCGATAAGAGCGCTGTTCAGGGTAATTGGACTTCTGTTGAAAGGCGTCGAGCTTCTGGCAGGAGGGTCAGGCCTTTCCACCGGGTTCACCATTAGAGCGGCGTTGGCGCGATGTCCATGCTCCCCGACGCTGTCAACTACTGGCTCTTCGACAACAATTTCGATTCTTCTCTTATCGGCTCGTTTCCCGTCGGCCGACGGTTCCGCGAGTAAATCGTCGGCGAGAGATGGCGCTCGGATGTCAATCGGTTCTTGTCTGGCCAAGTTCAGCCAGTCGCAAAGGCGAGTGACCTTAAAGCGCTCGTGACCTTTCTCCGGACTCGACCATTCGGAAGACAACTTCGAATGTCCCGAATTCACCTGACTGTGAATAGGACAACTATCAGAGTTCTCTTTGATGATCTCCAGGAGTCTCTTGGTCGACTTGCTCTGAGCATCTTCGGATTTCGAGGGATTCGAATCAGGTTTACGTAGATCAATCTTGTACCTTGGAACTGGGACGCAAGATGGTGGTTCCTCTTCGTAGTAAGTGTGTCTGTTGAGGAACTTTTTATGGAGGTCCAGTAAATTGTCCGCGCTCGTTTTTATCGTGGTCCTCTGTTGAGAAGGAGAGAGACATAGGAGCAGTCTAGGATCCCTCGTTGTCGACAAGCCTACCCACGTTTCCGGTCTCTCCATCGCGCGTTCCTTTTGTTCTAATTGCAGATACTTATTCCGGTCTGAAACAGGGGTTTTACAGGGATCAGGGGGCATCAGCCCTGGCGAAGCTGTTAGTCTAGCTGTTTCGAGCTGCTGCTCACTCACTCCATGCATGCCTAAAAGGCCTCTAGCATCGTCGTTAGCAAACCTTGAAATCGGCCGAAGACTTTTGAAGATGTTAAACTTGGGCAGCATTAACTCGTTGATTATTTGCGGCCCGTATGGCATCGACAGAATTCTCTTAACGCAAAGGTCTTTCAAAAGCTCTGGCTCAACTGTTCCGTTCAGTAACTGATTTTTACTACTATCGCTACTTCCTACGAGTTTATAAGGTAAATTCTCGACTGGAGAATAAGGTATAGGTTCCGGAGTGACTGGACCTTCGCGTCCATTCGTAGCCTCGTACAATTCCTCTCCCTTCAGCAAAGGTAGTTTACTTTTCAGGCTACACGACTCCACTTCAGTTTCGCGTTTCAATTTACTTTTCCTCGCTTCTTCCGTTATTATGGAGCAAATATCAGTCTGCCATGTTTCCATGGGATTGTACTTTACTGTGCTCAAAGTGGTAGCGCTGCTGGACGAGTCCTGACCCTGCAGGTCATTCGTCTGCTCGAGTGGTACTCGTTTATCATTCAGAATAGACTCCAGTATGTCTGAACGACTCTTATCGTTTTCATCTTCGCGAACGATTGCTTTTGTCTCAGTGTTCTCCATCGAGTAATTCTCATATATCTCCTCGAACTCCTCCTCGCAGCTTTTCGATGCCGTCGACTTCTTCGACGATTTTTCAATCTTTGTTTCGTTTTTCACGATCCTCTGTCGGGTGTGTTCCAGCTTCGAGTGAGAAGCTTTCGATTTACCAGGCACAAGCGGTTCGTTCTCGGGCACTGAACATTTTTCCCAGTCACGCGTTATTTCAGGACTTGTTGCACTGCCAAGCTTGGCGCCGTTCTCGATTGAATTTCGTAATTCGGTAGCGCTGTCGCTCGAGCAGGCCCTTAGATCATCGATGATCTCATGGATTTTCTCTGCTGCATTCGAAATGTCGCAAGTGTTTCGCATAACTGCGTCGTTGCGTGAAACAGCCGTCGGTGAAGGATCATTTATATTCGACGATGTTTCTGATGAACCTGATTCGAGTGGATGGAGATTCTCTTTTGGAAGAGGCGGACGAATAGGTGGACTTGTTTCCTTTACGTGAAGTTGAGGGTTTGCTTTTTCTTGAAAATCGACCTCCACGAGACTGGAGGATCGTTTTGGAGGAGTTGGAGGACGTCGTTGTTCCTTTATCACAGTAACTGTTTGGCTTCTTGAGTGTGTGCTCTCTTCTGAAGATTTTATCGCCAACGAAGTCTCCTTTATTACTGATTCCGAAGTATTATTCACGGTACGTGTATCTTGATTCTCTGGATCGTTAGATTTCGTATTCGTTCTGTTTTCTGGTGGTTTATTTATTTCATCTTTTGTGGATTTTTCAGTTGATGTCTCATCTTTAGAATTACTTTGAAGAATTTCTTGACTTTCGTCCACTTTCGATTCTTCTGTCGCATTTTGTAAGCCCTCAACTGTTGAATTATTGTCTAAAGTATTATTCGAGTGCTCAATTGAATCTACATCTTCTGATTCTTTGTTAGAATCTTCTACATTCTTAATTAAGGTCTCGTTGTCGTTATCTAATTTTTCGTTCGAAGCAGTAATTTCTGAACATTCCACTATTTCAGATTTTCTGACGTTTAAAGGATCATCTTCATTATTCTTAGAAAAATGTGAGTCTGTGTGCTCATTTGAATCTACATCTTTTGATTCTTTGTTAGAATCTTCTACATTCTTAATTAAGGTTTCGTCGTCGTTATCTAATTTTTCGTTCGAAGCAGTAATTTCTGAACATTCCACTATTTCAGATTTTCTTACGTTTAAAGCATCATCTTCATTATTCTTAGAAAAGTGTGAGTCTGCATCTTCTGATTCTTTGTTCGAATTTTCTGTATTCCTCATTGGGGTTCCATCGTTATTATCTAATTCTGAACACTCAGCTGCTTCAGATTTATCATCTAAACTGTCGTTAGAAAACTGTGACTGTTCTTCTTCAGAGCGTTTAAGTGAATCTATCTCATCTGACTCTTCCTTTGATACTTCTATATTAACATCTACCTCGTTGTCGACAACCTTATTTTCTTCTTTGCTATAACTGTACAATGTTTCATCGTTCCTTTTCTCTTCAGCATCTACTGCATCATCGCTGTGCAATTTGGATGGTTCATTTTTCTCCTCTTCAGATGGATCTCCATTACTGAAGTCTTCTTTTATGACGTCTCTTTCTACATTCCCCTGACTCAAAGTACCATTTTCTGTACAGACACCAACTTTTATATTTTTCTCCTCCAATTCATCTTTTAAAACATTCTTCGTCAATTTCTCTTCATTTGAGGAACTTTCGTTCGTTTCTACATTTTCACCTCCATCGTTTTTCAAACATACCTCTTCGTCATCCGAATCTACATTAATCACATTTATCTTCACATTGTGTTCTCTCGCCACCTTTCCCTCAATCTCTTTGCTCCACTTCCTTCGATCGAAATTTCGTTCATCCCTCCGATACTTCCCAATTTCTTCGTTAATAAAATCCCTGATATGTTGCTCTTCGTCCTCCGACAATTTCTCTCCCTCCTCCTGAATGATATCCAAAAATCTGCTTGCAGCCTGAGAGCGTACATGATGGGACTCCGAAGTGACGTTTCTTTTCCTAATCTTCTTAGAAGAATAATTGGCAACCTTTTCCGCCGGTTTACGCGTCTCCTCGACGTCTTCGGGATACGTCGGCAATTTCAGTCCCTCGATAAATGTCCTTAATTTTCTCTCCACATCTCGCGGCATCACGGTGTCCCAACCGTGTTTGCCTTCAGTTTCCTTCTCCGTGTCTGATTCCATCTCGACGATCACTGGTTTCGCGGAATCAGTTTCGACGTCGCAGTCACTGACATCGTGAATCTGCAGTCGTTCACTGTTCCCAGATGATCCCTGAAGCTTCTGACCGTTCGATGAACAAGGAAATGATTCTATAGGCTCAGAAACAGTGACGTTCGACTGGTCTTCCGGGTTTCTGTCTCTGCGACCCGTTTCTAGGATACCAACTCCACGAATGTGGTCAATTTTAGCCTCCAAAGGCAGACTGCTGATCGTTGTTATCTCCACCACCTTGATGCTTGGCTCCACGGTACCCTTTTCGATCTTGTATCTCTCTTCCCTCGTATATCTACTGGTCTTGGAGATTTCTTCTTGCAGAATCGTTTCAGTGTCTTTTGTTGCAGGTTCAGCTGCTCGTTGCGGTTCGTTGTAATGTATATTCTCCACGTAGGAGTCGTTCGTGCTTATACTCGCGGGATCATCAAGAGTTCTGACGTCATCTGGATTCTCTACGGTGCTTTCGTCGTCTTTGGAAGTTTTCTCTGGGCTCGGATGCGGCTGAAAACGCCTTCTGTTGCGACCCCTGCGATTTCTGCGATTCCGCGCACCGTGTGGCATGGTAATTTCTTCGCTATCTGTCGCGTAGTCCAACGATTCGCGAAATCCTATACAGTCGCAGAATCGGACGGGAATGTTTAATCGCGACCGGGAAACTCGTCGTCAACTCGGAGAAAACTTTAACTCTGAAGGGCTTAATAGCATATTCTATTTACGGTAATAACAATGAAAATTTATGCGAAGTTGAGTCTACGAAATGCTTTCTTAATGAATTGAAAAGCTATTTGAAAGAATATTGGAGATTTCTGTATTGAATTAGTTCCATTTATATCTATACAGTAGCAGGTATTGTAGGCTTTCCTAAAGAAAATCACGATGCGGGGGAAGGAATCCTCCTATTATTGGAAAATTTTTCACGAAATAATGTGATTTATGCACGTGTAACTTAAAGCTCTATCGATTAAGGGAAAATTTAAAAGTAGAACCTTACTATCCATCTTACTTCTTTTTTTAAAACAGTAATTCATTATTAGACTTTTTCTAGAGCCCACTTTAGATTTGCTGTAGATTACTTCAAAATAAAAAGCAGGTGATTTAACGTTCGAAAAGTACTTATAATTCAGAAAGAAAGCATCTTTTTCATGCTCATATTATGTAATAAATAGAATATGCTTTTGAAGTTTGACCACCTATTTTAGAAATACTCTCATTGAAATATCTAGGCAAAATTATTTATGCACTATAAACTGTGTACCTATGCAAGATCAGTCATGCAATTAAGATGGACCACAACTCTGGTTTCGTTGAAAGTAAAACAAAATAAAGAAAAAAAAAGATATTACATTTTTTCTGAAGTTCTTGAGTACAGTATCAGACAAATTTTATGTATGATTAATATTGTACGAATTGGAAATTAAAAAAATGTTTAGTTCACAGCATCTATCAAGTATTCAGAGCTGAAAGGGTTAAAATTTTTGCGATTAAGGCGGTTAAAAAACATTGACGTTTTGATAATGCTTTCTCGCGAAATTAAATAATAATTTTTAGCAACAATCCTGAGCTCATCGTCCACTTCAATCAAAATGGCACGATAAATAAATTATTTTATACTTTAGCTTTTGTAAATTTAATGGATAAATTAATGCGGGATATAAGCGGGAAAAAAATCATACCTGATCTGATTAATTTCAAGAAAATTATTACTAACAAGAACAATATTCTTGCAAATTTTACTGCTAAAATGTTGAATATTTTTCATAAAAATTCGTACATGGTATTTGTACATGTCAATATAAAAGAAAAACAAATCACTATTGCATGAATTACACGTATATTCATATTTTGCACCCCTATGATCTAATAATCTGTATCAACCTTAAGAGCTACTTTCATCCCTTTAAAGTTGATAATTTACAATACAAAAACAGAAAATATTATACTAAAAGATAATGCACTTTATAAGAAAAAATTCTATCATATTAACCCTTTGTACCTTGTTGAACAATTTATGTACTTTTATTTTATAATCCATAATTATAAAATTATTTTAACACTAAAATTATAATTATTTCCTCACAAAACCTAAGAAAAATTTTGAAACAAATTACAACAACTAATGTACAAAGAGTCAATATTTTAGTCCTCTGGAGTACTACAATTTGCATGTTTGAATGTTCAAAAATAATGCAATGGCGATAAGTTAGTCTTTGAAATGATATGAAATCGTGATTCTGATGCTTCGTTCGAATGAAACTAGCAAATGCGAATAATGCGAAGGAGAAAAGAAATTGATATTCCTTGCGATCGTGCAACAAGCATGACTCAGGCTAGCATTCCTAGAATATTGCCTGTTAATTGAGTGACAGACATAAAAATTGCTATTCTTACTTGTTTTAGCTTCGTCTAGTTTGTCAATCAAGGAGCTCTTCGGACCACCGTTTTGATTGGCGTAGCTTCGATCAGGTTTTGTGTCATCTGAAAAGAGAATGCACTACATGTAAAACACTTTTCGTAACTCGTCAAGATGGTAAATATTTTTTCACAACAATTACACTCTTCAACACGTATTTAAACCACTAATTTTAATTTCTCTATTATCTATTAAAAATATATGAATATAAGACTTTGAAAGAGAATCTAATTACACCATGTAATAGAATAGACAATGGATGATCTTGGACTGGCTGTTACAACTGTCAAATAGCAATGTAATTAAAAATATTCGAGTAAATATGCAGACAATATTTCTAAAAAATAAAATATGAAATGAAGCAGCTTCGAGAAGTAAATTAGTTGCGGAGGTTTCTATCTCGAGAATATACTGTCAGTCTAATAGAAAGCATACTTTGGAAATGACAGGTAATTATAAACAACTGTGACTAGACTTCATTTCAGTACTTGCTGATTTTCTAAACTATTTCTCAAATAAGAAGACAAAATATGTATATCTCAATTTTCTAGAGAGTTTACCATCACTGAGAATGCACATAATCAAAAAATACTTAATCAAAAAATTACTTTAATCTTCTAATCACTCTTGTAATTCCAATCACAGAATTAAAATTATGCGGATGCCAAAGGTAAGTTACATATAACACGTCAATTTTCTTCTCCTTCAGCACTCAAAGAATAAATTCAAAACTTCAACACACGTAATTACAAAATGCAGGAATTTCAAGGTAAGGAATTAAAGACCGAAGACAATATCCAACGGACCTAGTGCGTAAGAAATCCATGAAGAGTGGCGATAGAGCCGATTACAGAGGCCGAATGAAACGTTAACGGATCACAAATCAGCGACATGGCCTGTAAGGTCCATGAATCGCGGGAATGGACTGAGCGTGAACAGATCTACCAGCCGTTGAACATGCTCCTGTCCCCACCCACGCGTGTATACCGTCAACCTGTGTTGTTTGTACACATGCTTACGAATCAGAGTTTCTCAAACTGTTCCCGGGTTAACCTCATAGAACCGTGCTTTTACCCTTTCACAACTAAAAGTGGCGATAGTCGTACAACGTCAAACGCTCACTGCAGGGGCTGGAATTTAAATTTTCACCGAGGGATTAATGATACGACGGGCCCTAATTTTAATTAATTAGGCCTCAAATCCCTAACTGCCCATCAGGAATTTCCCTGAATTTCCAATGGTTAGTACACCCCCCAGTAAACCCTGGTTCACTGTATAACGGAGGTGTCTGTACTCAGCCACCGCTGATCCCTTATTGAATATTAAGGGTGATTACAGTCAATAGCAAGCTTCTGAACTGAATTATTTGACAATATAATACTAGGTTGCATATTGCTAAACTGCACATTATCACTGAAACCATATTAAAATTGAATTGAAAAGTTCTCCCTTACTCTGTCTACCTTTCAGACACCATGCCTTTGATTATCCTCTGTTTCTTTCAATATTAAATTAATTAGCAAATTAAGCAAATTAAATTAATAATTATGTACCTCGTTTCCAAGCTTTTAAATTTCACTTTTTTAGAAGTCGCATAGGGTTGAAAAAAAGATGCTTTTGCATACTTAATAATTATAATAATTAGGGTATTTTATCTCCAAGGATGATTATTTAAATCGCGTCGACGTTTTGCATTTTGCTTCACGCTAATTTTGCGATCGAATTAACTGTGTTTCCTCTGAGCTCAACAGAAGCTGCTCCCACTTTTATAATTGCCACTGTTGTCCTTCACTCTTCAATAATTTCGTCTGATTATAGGATCAATTACGTAATTAAGAAGCGTAATGTATATCACTGTTTCAGAATGATCCTTTGTGCAAAATTAGACGAAAAGAATAATTGATTGCCACGCAAAAGCTAAAGAAAAGTTTTATTTCGATAAATAATTTCGTTATTCCTATTTCAAGTACTCACTACAAGTATTTCCAATTCGGTGAATCAAAGAATTTTTAATGACACTAGGGATGGATTCCTATGGAAATTCAAGCGCTATCCAAACACGAATGACGAATTTCTATGGAAATTCAAACGTCAACCAAATATAGGTCAGTGACCATATTAAACCACATTATCAGTATGTATATCTATCCTTTTCTTCTCTACATTCTTTTCTACAGATTTTCGACCTATTCGAATTGAAAACTGTAAATCGCAAAAAAAGAATGCTTTCTTTCTCCTTCACAATAGTCAGTTCGAATTGAAAGTTCAAAGAACTGAAAATCGAACGGTAATTTCTGTAACGAATTTAGGTGACACGTGATGTAACGAAAAGTGTGGAAAAATGGATGGGTGTGCTCAGCACTGTAGTCGTTCCGTATTGTTTACTCGGAAGGAAGTTCAACTCGGAAGTGGCACTATTCATGAACCTCGTACGAGGGGTGGAGAGACACACAGACCTCATCCATCGTAGTGCGTCACCGTGTACTTATGTTTACCTCGAATCTTTGTGTGGGTACACCCCACAAACGAGCTGAGGTGTGTTTAATGCAACACGTACGTGGATGTGTCTGTATGCGCACAAGTTTGATGTAAAAACGTCATTTAGGGGACTGGCTGTGCAAGCGTGACTCGAAATTGTGTACCTAGACGGTTGTTGCTGGATTCTCGACAGAGTTTCTCAAATTTTGTTCACCTTCACCTTTTATTTTTATTTCAAATCTGCTATTGCATTGGCCCAATATCAAAAAGTACGAAAAATACAATGCAACTTTAAAGTATAGTAACAACTTTCGTTTGCAAACATCTCGAAAACTAAGATCGAGTGGCGATTATATGTGTAGAATCCCAACAACATGAAAAATGAACAAAATCGGTGGGGTTGATGAAATATCGATAATTACCCTAACTTTGCTTGGAAATAGCTAATACACAAGTAGAGTACGATTCGGTGTGATTCGCTATATAAAATTAATTAAAAATAATCCGGCTATTATAATCGAATTTCGGCTACTGTTATCAATTGTAATAACTACACTTGGGAAGAACGATAAGAATTCTTAATATTATTAGTCCCAAAGTGATCATAATAAGCGAATTCCATTATAGCTCGCTATAATGTTCCGAGGTTAAATCTGTGTAGAGTTTGAAAGTAATAAATAATGACTTATAATTAGAACGAAGCTTAAGGATCCCTAACAAGGGTTCGGCTTCTGAGCCGTGGAGGACGCATAGGCAAAGGACGAAAGATGGAAGATGAGGCTGCGGAAATGCGGGCTTGGCCCCTTCGGGGCATGACGCCCAACGGCGCACCCATCGAAGGCGCGTTAACGCGTCGGCGTCGGGTTCGTTCGACGCTGATGGTCATACGTCGATTACCAGTGTCCGAGTGTGTTCGTAAAAAAGTAATATCGCTGTTTAAAATACCGTGAAGCGATAAATACTCGACACTGATCGGCATTGCACAACGTACCGTTGCGATTTATAAAATTAATGATTTTATTCATTCGACAGTAAAATTCAGAATAAAACTTGATTCATGTAACATTTGTAGTAAAAAATGTATACTCAAAATTTATACTGAATTAACAGTAACTTATATAAAATTTAACAATAGCTTTGGATACCATTGGTCATCGTATAAATAATTTAAAGCAGCAGATGATAGCATTGAAAATTAAAAATTAATTTTTAATATCTTTAATAATTCAAACTAGATAAATTTGCTATTTGCTAAAAAAGTCTTTATAAAATTTATTAGGCTATTAATTTTAGAGAAAGGAAAAGAATGCACTGGTTTGGGAGCATTACGTAGAGATATCGATAAAAGCAATTTCACTTTATCGATTTCTTCTTGGAAATACCAAAGTATCTTTGCTAGTGCTATTAACTAATACATGCCTTCTATCACGAAAGCTATTGCTGAAATTAGAACACACACAGTGACCCATATTTACTTCCTTCTAGGTTTCTCATTACGCTAAGTGTTCAAACTTCAAGTATTTATTCGTTATCAATATGTGACTTTTTAAAGTATGATGACTTGCCAAATAAATTGCAATTATACTTTCCTATCGAAAATATGAACAAAGAACTAAACTGAAAACTGTATTTCATATAAAGTATTTAATATCAATAGATTGGAAATTGATTTTGTATTATAAATTTTATATAATTACAAAACCTTATTTTTATACGTAAAATTCATAAAGTATGACGCAAAAAATTCATTACTATAGATGTAAAGAATGAAAGAGAGAAGTTGAATGAATCGATTAAAATCTTTATCGAGTTCCACTATCAGCAATCTGTAGTTTAATGGTTCTTGACCGGAGGGTAAGCAACCCTAAAGAAGTAATTTGGCACGTTTTAATGGTTATTAGGGTATTGAACTGTGACATAATTAACATTCAGGAGTTTAGCTAACAAAGAACTACGATAAAATCTTGGGAATAATGTGAATTCTTTAAAAAAGGGAACATCAAATTTATTATTGAAAGAACGAAGGGGTGTTCAACACTTTAATTATATGAAATATTGTAACTAATGTATCCGAATAATCTGAACAATTTCAGTACGGCTAAATAATTGGAAAATCATATTGAAATTTATGTGAAAATATTTAAACTATTTTACTGAATTTGCAGAATTTCGCACCAACGAGATGCATTTAAGCTTTATTAAAATCGCTATAATTAAATGGAGATAAAAAAGAAATAAAATATTGCACGAATTTAATACGACATTTAATGTTGATTTTTATTATAGAACGTTCACAATATGAACATTTATTACTTCTGAAATAATTATGATATTTCCACACAGAAAAAGTAAAACTGAAATCGATTAGTATTCAGATATTAATAACTGCAATAATAAGTCCAATGAAAAGCTCCAAACATTTCGTTAAAAAGAAGATCACTGGATATGTAACAACCTAATATCACCTCTATTTATGTACAATTTTTCTCTATTAAATTATCTATATTAAATTAAAATTGTTATTATAATAAATGTAACAAAAATAACTAAAAATCGTTCCCAAATATTCGTAAATAAACGATCTAAATAATCTTCAAATAAAAAAACCACCCATCAAAATTTATTTCTCCTTTTATACATATTTAATCAAGTTGCAAAAATTGTAATCAATTTCTGAAAAAGATATTCCTCCACATTTGCATATTTCAAATATTCCATTTGTTCCATAGTTTACCATTTTTTGCGGTGACAACGGGCAGCTTATCGAAGCTTCCATCAGAGCAGACACCTTCCTTCATCCATGCACAATCCGATAAAATATCTTCCTCGTGAACTACATCCGGTGCATCAATTTTTTTCCGCATTATACAACTTCTCGTCCTTTCTTCATCCATCGTTTCCTTCCCTTCCTCGTCCAATACATCCTTGTCTTCATTCTCATCCTCGAAACGTACACTTTTGCATTCTTTAACATCGTCGAACAAAATACCGCGAACAGCTTTCATTTTCTTGCTTTTCAAAATCGGTGCTCGAACAAATAGATCAATCACGGTTCTTTCAATATCCAAACTCTCGTCGTTACAAAATCTGAATCCAGATTTCCTCTTTCCGCTTACTTTTAGAATACCCGAATCAGGATTTTTCATTTTTCCATAAATTTTAGAATGATAAAATTCATCAGTGGTTTCCGGTATGGCTACGGTGTTCATTCTTCTGAAATCCAACGTGTTTAGCTTGTTTTCAAAGTTTTGCCTAGTTTCGTCGCTTCTGAAACTGGCCGGAGGTTCGATGAGAAACTTCAGCGCTTCCAGGTGTTCGTAATATTCACGCTCGAGTTCTTTGCTTCCGTTTCCGTCTTCCTTACAACCGTTAACCAAAGTCCTTGAATTATTTTTTCTGGACCCTACGAAAACCGCCTCACGATTCTTATATCTTGATCTTTTTACTCTGGTTCTAGCCAGCTCTCGTTTTTTCGACCATTTATGAATCTCCAACCTATTTCTAGCTTCGATTGTTCTATTTCGCTTCCAGGATGAGCGAAAAGAACGTAGCATAGATAAGAATCTGGAGCCTGGATTCCCGAACGTCAACTTCCGTTTAGATTTCGGGTGATATGAACGTCTGTCGGGTCGTTTCGTGGTGACCAAAGGGTCTGGTGTTTGGAATGAGATTTTTGAAGTTCCTGTGTCTTCCGTGTTGGTAAAACATTTTGAACAATTGAAAAATTTCATTTTGAAATATGATGGAAATTTGCTTTCTGAAAAATGCGATCGTTGGATGGTTTGGTGTTTAGAATATCTCATCTGATGTCTTTGTGATTAAAATGAAACGTTTAATGCACGTTTTATTGACTGTTTGAAGGTACAGTTAGTAGCTAGTGACGAGCTGTTAATTGCTTCGAATCATTTTAACCTTTGAACAGCAGAGCCTGGGTCCCTCTCCATGATCCGCCGTCCGGGCGTTAAACGCTCATTATTTGAGAGCCTCGAATAATTTCTTTATTAGGCATTTTATGAGGTGATCATAATGATTGGAACCAACTTAACACAATGCATCCTTTGTAATACTCACCATCACCATATAAAAAGAAGTTCTATTTATAATTTACGATTATTTTAGAAATTGATTGTCCGACTTCTATGAGTTATAAAAATTATAAAATATCTATAAAACATTATGTTATACTTATCGGAGACTGACAATGAGTAGAAGTCAAAAATGTGGACAACGAACTTCCAAGAATATTTTATTTTCAACAAGCTTCAAATCGATTTAAGAGCATGAAAATTTTGCAAAAGAGAGTCCTGAATGCGCATCACTAGCTACAATCGCAAGGCATTGTGATCGATGAATGTATCCGTTTTCAATCACCAATGAATCTAATAGTTCCGGCCTGAATTACGTAATTCGACTACATAACACGATACACAAAGCGAAATGAACAGGAAAGTTACAGCAGCGTTATATGAAACCCGTTTGTTCATTGCACTTTCGACGTTAATTTAACGAAACTGTTCGTTGCAAATCGTGCAATAGATTTACCTCCGAGTTTACCAAGTAATTTAAGTCAATTACGCACCCACAATACTAACACATCAATTGGGTCTTTCGAGTTCGCAAAATTGAAAGGGTTAAGATATCAATTATTTTATCCACTAGATCTGCTATAATCTATTAGAAATTAAAAGATAGTCTTACTATAATAATTAATCTTTACAGAATTATTATAAACAATTCAATAATAAATCTTATGCAATGAATACTCTGTAGACACTTAAAATCCCCGTTCATCTTATCTTCAAATAGATCATCAACCAGATAACGTAATCACTGAACCTCTATCAACACGTGTTCACACATTAGATTTAACCGAGGCAACATTTCCACAAGTAAACAAGAACCCTCCGACTTTTGACTTTCCCTCTATAAATCGAGGAATTTTCACGCGACTAATCAAAGAATCGACCCTTCGGATCGAGAAAGTAAAAAGGAAGAATCAAACACACCGGACAAAGCGTCTTCGAGTACTGACAGAAAGGTGGGTCAGACGGAGGTTCGAAAAGGAGGAAGAGGGTCACAGCCAGGGCGTCTTCTAAACGAAGTAGGGTGCGGCGTCGTCGAAGGGTACACAACGAGACCTATCCCCGTGGAGACAGGTGCATCGTGTGTGTGTGTGTGTGTGTGTCATTAAAGAACAGGTGTGTCAGTGTTTGTGAGCGTGCACAAACGCCAGGACATAAGTGAACCGTGGGTACACGTTGATCGTCTGCTCGTCGTCGCGTGACGACGCGGCCAATTTGCAGGAAGGGGACGATTTCGTGAATAAAAAAAGAGACATGGATACGATTATAGCTGCATTTCCAAGGTACTTTGTCAACGCATTAATCTAACACAATGATCCAGAAAGACATAAAGGCGAAACAATGAAACAATGACTATAGCTCGTTGGACAAGGTGAGTGCGCTAATCCTCCTAAACGTCGTTCGTCGGGTGAACAAAATACAAAATACAATGTAAATTAACTCGACACGTTCTTTATCATTCTCATATCACTGTTTTAGTATCATAAACATACAAGTTCGAAAAAAGTAATTTTTGAGGAGACAAAGAAAACCAATTTCCATAGTGGGCTAAGAAATCGATAAAGTAGCTAAAATTCAATACATTGACAGAATTTTATGTGACTACTTATTCGGAAGCTCTAACATATATTCATAAAAATATATGAATGAAGGTCTTTGTGTAAAACTTTATTATCGAAATTGGATCGATTGGATCGATATTAGGAAAAAAGATCGTATAGTAAAATGGAAAATATCTACTCACTTAATTCGTTTTTCTTCGTTTCTGTCGTTATAACCCGTGTATTCGATGTGCTTGTGGTTTTCGTTGTCGTCTCTGTAAAAATAAACATCAAATTTGTAAGAAATCGCGTCGGACATATATAACCCAGTATGCCTGCGGGGGATTAAAATATACTACACCTACAAGAGTTATAATAACCGAGGAACTTACTATTGAGAATCTCGGTGGTAGTATTTTCTTGCAAACTACTTTTGTAAATTCGTCTTTTGGGCGAGCCAATGTTTTCCCTGTAAACAAAAACAAGCAAGCTTTTATATATAAATCTGAAATTGTTACTATGCTTTGCATTTTGGAATTTACATTATTCGTTAGGAAACGTTCCATATACTATCATAATAGAATTTTCAATTTGTTTTACTATGAAGTGTACAGTCTTTTCTTTGGAAAATAAAAAGATTAAAAAATCTATCATTTAATATAACACAATTTAAAAAGTTCATTATAAATATCTTCATATAATAAAAGTTATTTTAAATAACATACTCTTATGAACCCATTAAAATACACAATAGGTAAAAGAAGATTATTTAAAAGAACTTACTGATTCAAACCAAGCTTCAAATGCTCCCCAGCGTTTCGTAAGAGTGCATGTGCCTCGCTGTTCGTTAAATCTCGGGTACTTCTTCCATTTATGCTGCTAATTAAATCACCCTCTCTCACCCCCTGTTGGGCCGCTTTGCTGCCTGGATTAACCTGCAACGTCCATTCAAATATGTTCTTCAACTAGGAGAAAATTTGAAAGGTATTCATATTCAGCTTTTAATTTAAAAATACATCATGCGATATGACTTTTCAATTACTCTTTGTATTTAATATGAATTGTGTTAATTATCTTTACATGATCCCCCTTTGTTTGCAAAACCTGGTTTTAAAACGACGGCTGTAATTTCAATTTTTAATAAAAAGTGGAGGAAAAGCAAATACAGTTTTTAAAAAATTGTGAAAAGGGACCAGTACTTTATGTAACTGAGTTATAATTCCCTTTACAGTTGTCTAGTACAAAATTATTTTTCTAAATGTAGATCTCATAATAATATTTATTATTTTTTTCATCCTAAAATAAATCTGTTTCTAGCAAAATTTTACAGTTTCCTTTTAACCTGTCATTCCCCCAAAATAATTTTAATTCAATTTCCCTGTGCTTAACCGAAGCTACACTAATATGGATTCAAGAAATAGTCCAACTTTGGTTTTTACAATTAGGTTAATGGCACTTAAGGAAATGGTGCAGGTATTAAGCTTCGCTCAGGGTGCAACGCCCGGTGGAGACTATTATATCTTCATTAAATATGTATATTTTTTAATCAAACAATTCTTAAATACTGTCCAAAATAAGTGTAATCGAACACCTTATCAACAACAATTCAACGAGGTTTGTAGATAATGCAAAAATTCATCAGTAAGTACTTAATTGTTTGAACTTCGATCCTGTTCGAACGACTACGTTTCCGAAAATTCATCTATAAAAATGGTCCTATTACCTCGAAATTAACTTATTGAACTCTACATTGGTGCTCTAAGGTTCTCACCGTGTAACTGCACTTTCGTTGCCCTGACACTCGGAACTTCAGCATCTTGGAAACTTCCTGGATGTCCCCGAGCTTGTCGATACGTCAATGAGAACAACGGCAAAGGACCGAGCAATTCGTAACTTCGTTTTCTACTTTCTTTTTCAACTTTTCTAAGGCTAACAAAGTTTCGCTGCCGTAATTGAACAGGAAGCTGTTTTCTGCAAAAAGATACCCTTCGTCTGGATGTCACCGCAGTTGGAAAATATTGATCCAGGAAGTTGCAAGGTAACTACTTTGACCCTCTTTATTTTGTGAAATGTATAAAATGGTTTCAGCAACTGAATATAATCCTACTATAACAGTATCCCAATTACGTTTTCAATTCCAAAGCTACGAAAAAAATTGTTCAAAGATTATTCTACCCTCTGCATACCAATTATTCTAATTAATATTTCATAATATCCAAGAAGATCGAAAACTGAATTTTCTGGAAAATAAATTTACATACAAAAAAATGTAACTCCATCATTTTTATTAATTTTCTTATATTCATCAGCTTCCCACTTGAAACATCCTATGTAAGACTTTCATTCTTATTTCCACTCATAGAAAATGTTGAGGAAATTAATAAAGCAAGAAACGCGAGAAGTATCATTATCTATCATTATCTAACAGCAAAATTTTGCATCTTTCTTAATAAGTTTATGGCTCATCCAATAAGTTGAAGTAATAAAAGTCGGCGTGACAGCTAAGAAATAAACGATCGTGCAGCAGCACGCGAAACATGATCGTTAATTAGAGAAATATCAAGTTCCTTGAAGTTACAAGAAGTTTCTCAATCAAAAGTCACCTACAACACCTTTCACAAGTTTTCAGACGCTCTGCCCAGGAAACTAATTACCAAACACAATTAATATAGCGAGCTCGTGTGAAAAATATTAACGATGATAATGGAGATCTCTAATCAAAAGTTATAGTCGTGTGTCATCAGAGACTGAGAAAATTCTTGAAAAAGAGAACGAATGTATCGATGTTTACGCTTTTTTAATTCGAAAAAATATACGATAAGTACCTCGTATTACTTATGGACAGAATAAAAAAATACTTCAACTGATGTATAACAAAGTACACGATTCCATTTTAAAAAATGAAGATGATTTTTTCAAATTGAAAAAAAAAGAGAAACTATTTTTTATAATAGGGAAAGAGCTAACTTACCGACTTAAATAAATCTGTAACTCTAGCTATGTGCGCTGTACTCGAAAAGCGGAGAATTCCTAAACTACAAAGGAAAATCTCTAGCATTTACCGATTCAGTACTATTGTTTTTTTATAATAAATTTGCATTGTTTATTTAATATTTCTACAATTAATTAGAGGAAACTTTTTATCATTCAGTTTAATTTAATTAAATGCCAAGAAAAATTCCTGGAACATTCGCCGGAAGTACAACATATCAAATGAATTCCTGCATGCTAAATTTAATTTAAATTCATTTAACGAAGGTATAATGATGACTTTTGTTATGAAACAAGTTCTACGAATAAACGTGTACGATGAAATACGCTGATAAGTAAATGTAATTAAGGAATTCGTTAATTTTGAGAATAGAACTTTCTCCCTGATCCTCCTGGGTCACACAAATTGTTGGCAAACCAACTTTGGTCCGCATACATTATGTATCTGTGTTTCGTGCATTCGAACAAATTAATTTGTTGGCGCTGGGAGACGTCGTTATCATTAATTAAAATTATTACGTAAGTTGCAGGCGACGAAAATTCATATTGCCCTTTATTGTAATTTACTTTCAGCACAGGAAATGCAAACTAAACGTATCGATAACTAAATTTATACATATTGTAAATATTAATTTCAATTATTGCGCCACAAGGATACATATTAAATCAAATTTAGACACGTAACCAATAGTACTGCTTTAATTAAATTTTATTGATAACCATTTCCAATAACTGTTCAATTACTTTCGCCCCCAACTGTACGTAGCTCATACAAGAAGGTAAAAATGGTACCACTAAAATTTCATGAATTGTAAAAATTTCGTGTAATATAACCACTGACTCATGATTAAAATGCAAATAAGCAAAAGATGAAAAATAAAAAACTGAACATCACGCAAAGTTTCAGTGAAAATAATTTTGCAGAATGTGCGAATTCGCTGGCGGCGATGTAACAACCTATTCCCATGTTCACTTATTTCATTCCTGTTTCACAGTTTGTAACATCACGATATTGACGCCTCCCATATCATCATCGCGAATTTTTCATCGTTTCTCTCACGATTCTACTACCCAAGGTTTCGCACTACATCCTTCAAGCATTTTCTTCGAACACCGTGTTCCACTTTCTTCGTGAAAACCTTTTCCAAAGCTTAGACGTGACTTTTCTACAGACAGATAGATGTTAACAAACCAACACTATAAGAGACTAAAAAAAAAGAAAAAAGAAAGAAAAATTCACCCAAAGCTATTATGATAATTAACGTGTCAATTACTTTTCGCGCAATGAATTCTTGCACCTAACTAAATTTTCACTGTATGCAATTCTCTAAAATATTTTTTAATAATTTATTCATTTTAGCCAATTTCTGTCATTCGTCTTCGTTAACCCTTTTTGTTAAAATTTCAATTAGTTCCAAAAGATTAGCAACGTGGCTCGAATCGTCTAACGATTAAATACTTCCTTTAATTAAATATCCTGCAATCACAGAAGTGTCTGGGAACGTTTAATTGCTCGATGAATATTTATAATATCATTCGACAGACTGCTGAAGAGTCAAAGGAATCGAGTGGTCTGCTATCGAACGATATTCCTTCACAAACTTCCTATCGATCGGAATATTCCATGAGGCTGACTAGACGAGATTTTACCTGAGAGATTAATATTTAAGCCGTGAAACGAGAAGGATTACAAGCATGAAGAATCACACAGAAATTGATTTAAAACAGATGGTCTATCATAAACATAATCGGATTGAGTTTAATCTGTACAGAAGCGAACTTGATGAGCATCGAATGAAACAGCAGAAACGAAGAGCGCTCGATGAGGTAGAAAAGTCTAGGATAGAAAGGTAAGTATCTTTTAATCCTCGGATGGCGTACCATACAGAGTCACAATTTTAATTTAATTTTGTATTTCATATTATTTGTTGCTTTCATCTCATTAGTTGTTCAAAGGTTAAAATGTGATATGAATTTACGTCGTCTGTTAAAAAAAAATAATATTGAATTTTTTAAATATACAATAATGGTGTGTATTGGAATACAAAAAATTTCTAGGATCTAAAACTCAAATTGTTGGCCAATGTAATCATTTATTTATTCAAGTGCTGCTAATAATGAAACCATTTTTTGTTTCGACAATTAAACGATCCTATTAGAAAATTTTGTAAATATTTGATACAACTCAGTACTTAAAATCCCATTTCTTATTTTATACTTAAAATAAATGTTATCATTGAAATTCTATGTAAGTGTATTGAAAAATCCTCGTTTTTTTCCGCTCGAAACGTTCTCAGAGTATCGATTTTGATTGGAAAGCTGGTCATCAGGATTCCACAAGCGTGACAGAGTTATGGGTCAAAGTTCTCGGAAAATAAAGTTGCTTCCTGTAAAATGATAGGAAGGAAAAAATGGAAATGAGCGTTAGAAATCGTTGAACCGTGAATGAACTGAATTGTTACAGAGAATTTTCAACCCTTTGCATACTAATTTCGTTTCCTAGACACGAATAACGTTTCCAGTGTTACATCGAATGAATGTAAAGTAGCATTAAATAAAAATTATTACCTACAAATTATGAATACAGAGGCGACAGTATCGATAAGAAAGAAAAATAAAAAAGTACAAAAGAATTGTAACGTTATTAAAGCCTAGACTTTTATTGTGACTTAAAATTCCTAGTATTTTGTTCAAAAAATTCTGACGTGTTAATTTTATCCAAGTTAAAGAAAAAGAGGGTGTAAAAATGAAGAGACTGCCACAATTATTCTAGTTTGTGGCAATTAACTATGATATAACTGAAATTTAAATTTAAATTTAGAAAGAGAAAAAGGGACGTGCATCTGGCGAGTAACAAGAAAAGGAAGGGATGCAACTTTCGTGAAATGCATTATGCATTCAGACAGTTCCTTCCAGCTGGGTCGAGTCAGCGCTTGAAAGGCGG